TCCCTAATAGACTTTGAAACCTCGCCTCGTATGACTAATATAGTATCTATTCCTGACTATCGACCGCTTTTTATGACTTCACTTCGCTCCAAGCTTTCAGGAAAGTTAGCCAAAACTCTTAGGTCGGAAGCTGACCCTAAAGGGTAGCTTGGACTCCGAGGTCAATTATATCGAGCCTCTTTCTTGAAGAGAAAAAAAATAAGTCATCCTGGTATCCCAAGCCGTTGGATAAACCAACGAAATTGGAAGAAAGTCTTCCGGCAAGCGGAGATAAGATACACACAACTTAATATGATGCGACCTACTAATTTGATACATAATCCTAATGCGTATAATATCATGAAAGAAAGAAAATATATCTCGTATGAGAAGGTTTGGACGAGCATGTATCTGAAGATACGCTTCAAAAGACAAATACAGAAGGAAATACTAGAAAATGGGTATTCTATAACCCATTGGTATCTACATACCTTGTTGACGTCACCAAACTTCCTGATGGAGTTGTTCGCTTTGCAACACATACGAATCGTACAAGGAATGTTATATAGGTTCGAGCCTAGAAGCGTAGCACGCTTTCTTCAACAGGACGAACTAGACCGTAGGTTAAATATGAAAGAATGTTTGCACACTTTGATTCCATCTCCCCTAAACTGACCCCTTTTCGGGATGGAGCCTGTAAATCCATACTTTTCTGTCATTTATCGCTATATGCCTCAGACATCTCAAATCCAGGTAGCAAGAGATATACTCATTCCCGATAATATCAATAACTTGATATCTTTAAGGGGGCTAATAAAGATAAATCATGAAAGTCTTATACAAACTTCTCTAACGAGAAAAAGACATGAATGGAACGACATCAACATCGGGCATAATTTAATGAATCGTGTTTTGCTGGAGGCATGCTCCTATAGAGGAGGTATTTTGGGGAGATTCGTGGTAGTATTTCAAATAGGTGTTGGGTGCGTACTATTCTACAATTTCACTCCTGTGGGGGTCTAGCGCAGCCCAGGAATAAGCGAAGTCAAGTAAGTAAGCAGCGAGCCTATCCGAAACGCATACTCTCCTACTCGACATCCCATCCACCAAGTAAACAAAGGCAGTTGCTCTCGAGCAGTTCGTTCCTTTCGCCCGGACTTAAAAGAATGGACGGGCCGCTACACCTTTCTTCTACACAAATTCTGACTTCGCCGAGTCTATCGCCAGCATAGGTTCTCCGACCAATGGATGGTACACCAAGCAGCACCTTTAGGTTGCTAAGCAAATCCTATCTCGAAGCCATGGGAACAGCCCCAAGAGGGATTATGATGCCCCTTATCTTTAGACACATCACTGCCACTTCAACTTGGGTCTTACTAAATGAGAAAACCTGCCCCTAGGAGTCAACGGGGGATAACCACGAAACCCAAGGACTCAATCTCAATCGTATGAGGTTCGATGTAATTGACCTTGCCGTCGATAGTGAGAGCCCAGCCCTATAGGAAGAGTTCGAGTCGGAGAAAGGGCCATCTATCAAATGCAAACCATCCGGCGGCTTGCCAGTGTATAATTCTTTCTTGATCTGAGTTGCTGTTTTGATTGATCGATTGCAAATAATCGATCAACTCCTTACTCGGACACTCTTTTCATCCGCCGAAGTCCGTACCAACCGAAGTTTGTGCTTGAACTTGATAGGGCTATCTTGCCACATAGCCAGCCTTACCGACCAAGGTGTTTACCGTTCACACACCACCCCAAAGTCCTACCCAGGTCTCAACGAGCTAGGAACTAGCGTCGCGTCCATTGATCAAGCCCCATTGAACGGAAAGATGAACTAATATCCGTGCAAGCCCTGACTAGAAAAGAAAGCCCATCCGCTGCTTCAGTAAATTCTCTCGAAGCCAATCTTTTAAGGCCGGCCGGAAAAACTCGATTATGGCATCCGCCGGCACCAATCTCCTCCAAACCGCCACAGCCTCCGAGCAATCTCGCAAGACATGTATGGTCGACTCTGTCTCACCGCATAACTCACATGCTGCTGACCCCGAAATGTGGCGTCTCACACGTTCGGCATTCGTGAGTAGCCAATCCTTTGCAGCAAGCCACATCATCATACGGACTCGCTGCGGCGCCTGTACTCTCCAAATGGTCCTCCAAAACTGGCGATCCTGGCCTCCTTCTTGCTCCGATATCAGTTGATATGCCGACGACGTCGAGAACCGTCCATCCGTAGATGGTCCCCAGATTATGCGGTCGTCACCGTCCAGCCCTCTCGGCGGGAGCATACTAGCAATTCGTAGAATCACCGATGATGGCAACACGCCATGGAAACTTTCCCACTTCCAACTTCCAGTCTCATCGACATGGTCAGCCACCTTTGAAAAAATATTCGTGATGCCCTCATATCTGGTGACTAGGCTAATGAGAGGACCCTCCGGACCTAACCAAGAATCTAGCCAAAAACGGACCGTCTCACCATTACCTAGGACCCATCGCACTCCTCGAACCACATGCGGCCAAACCATGCGAATAGCATTCTACAGTGCTGAGCCCGGCTTCCAGGTCAAAGAGTTCAGAGGGTTCGAAAAATCCAACGCATATTTGGCCCGCAATACACGAACCCATAGAGCATCCGGCTTGGTCAACAAACCCCAGCTCAACTTCATCAACAACGCGCAATTCATGCGACGGATATCCCGGATCCCTAATCCCCCCATCCTCTTTAGACTTACAAACTTCCTCCCATTTTACTAAATGCATTTTCTTACGTTCGCTGGACCCCCCCCAAACAAAAGCCCGGCTTCGACGTTCAAGCCCCTCCGACGTAGTTACCGGGAGTTTCGCTGTCTGCATGGTGTAGTAGGGTAGTGAGCTAAGCACTGACTGAGTAAGGGTCACCCTACCGGCCATTGATAATGACTTCATTCGCCACCCCGCTAGACGGTCCTCCACACGTTCCACAACATGGTTGAAAGTTGATTTGGTCACTCGCCCATGAATTACTGGTACCCCCAAGTACTTACCCAGGTTGGTCGTCACCTTGAAGTTCAATTTCGAAGCCAACCTAGCTTGTTCCTGCGTCTCCACATTAGTAGAAAATAGGACCTGCGTCTTCTCGCCACTCACTTTGAGGCCCGAAATAGAGCAGAATGCATCCAACACTCGCGCCAAAATTCCCACTTGGGCATCCGATGCCTCCAGAAAGAGGAGGAGATCATCGGCAAACATTAGGAATGGAACTTGGACAGTTCCCCTTCCAACCGAGATAGGCTTCCACTCCCCCGAGTCTACGGCTGCACATATCATTCGGGCCAACCGTTCCATACAAATGACGAAGAGGTAGGGCGAGATGGGGTCCCCCTGCCGGACTCCACGAGAAGGACTAAACTCCTCGCCCAGCATCCCATTCCATAGCAAGCGCATCGATGATGAGCGGACGCATGCCATTACTATCAACACAAAATGCTCGGAAAATCCAGCTTGCCGCATAGAGTCCTCGATAAAATTCCATTTCAGGTAATCATAGGCTTTTTCAAGATCAACCTTGATCACCATGTATTTCTTTGCGCCTCTCGCACCCCGCATTGAGTGTATGAGCTCCTGTGCCACAATAATATTGTCCGTGATATTCCTTCCCGGTATAAAGCTAGCCTGGCCCGGATGGATTAGGGACGGAAGAGTGTCTTTCATGCGGTTAACCAATACCTTTGAGAACAGTTTGTAGATGACGTTGAGTAGGCTGATAGGCCGAAATTGCTTTATGGAAACTGGGTTCTCAATCTTTGGTATAAGTACCAGTAAGGCACAGTTCACTGATTCGGGGACAACCCCAGTCCTCCACATCCTCCGAATGAATTCCCGAACAGCTGGTCCGACAACCTCCCAATTCTTCTGATAGAAGAGAGCATGTAATCCATCAAATCCTGGAGCTTTTAAAGGGCCCATGTTGTTCAGAGCCAAGTGAATCTCATCATCAGAAATATCTCCTTCCATAGCCTGCATGGTATGAGTACCTTAGGTTGGGGGGATACCAGCCGGCGTCCTGATGTCCAGATGTGGTTGATCGTCAGTGAAAATTTTCCGAAAAAATTCCGTGGCTAGCGTGCGAAGAGCCAAAGGGTCAAACACCTGGTTCCCCTCGCTATCAGTGAGTACATTAATTTTTGTGCGTCTGCGCCGGCTATTCAAATGGCGGTGGTAATATGAAGTATTCCGGTCCCCCAAATATGACCATTCCCGAGTTGCCTTCTGAATAAGCAGGAGTTCCTCTTGGACGACCACCTCGTCTAACTCCAGACGAAGCTGACGTTCTAATTCCACTAACCTGCTAGTAGAGTAGAATTGGCTACATCTCTGGATGCCTCCTATGCGTGCTAGTAGACGTTTCTTTTTCTGGAAAATGTTGCCAAACACTGCGTGGTTCCACACCTTGGCCTGGGTGGTCAAATTGGCGGCAGCCTCTTCGAATTCTAGTGTGGGTCGCCAAGAATTTGATAACAGGTCTTTGAAACCCGGGTGAGTTAGCCAAGCCGCCAAGAACCGGAAAGGCTTCTCACCCCGCATCTGATGTCTACGTCCTCCAAAGGCCAACAAGAGCGGAGAATGGTCCGACTGGGCCCTAGGGAGCAGTTTGACTTGGCCGGTATCGAATTTGTCCATCCAGGGGACATTGGCTACAAAGCGATCTAACTTCTCGGCCACCCTTCCCTGTTGCGTGTCTCGGACCCACGTGAAGCAGTGTCCGTCCGTAGACACCTCCTGTAGACAGGCGTTGAACATCAAATCCACAAATTCCGTACTGATGTTGTAGTGTCTGGTAGATCCTCCTGATTTTTCGGACCGTCGAAGAAGGCAGTTGAAATCACCCCCAATCACCCACGGGTCTTTTATGAGGCCTGCCAGATGCTCCAATTCCACCCATAGACTGCGGCGGCTCCTTGCGTGAGGACTAGCGTAGATGAAAGTCACAAGGCAAGAAACATCACCCTTGGACACCCGCGTGTGAACCAACTGTCTGGAGAAGGAAAGCACTTCTAGATTCGTCTCTCCTGTCCATAAGATCCAGATACCCCCAGAAAACCCCTGGGCCTCCACTCGAAAAGATCTGTCAAATCGGCTATGACGTACAAATTGGTCGGCAGAAGATCCGCCTATTCGTGGTTCAAATAGCGCAAAAACATCAGGTTGATGCTGACGTAGAAGGGTCGTGAAAACTCCCCGGAACCCAGGCGAGCCCGCCCCCTGTACATTCCATGCTACAATATTCATGAGAGAAACAATGCTGAATATGACACCGCTCGAATGCGATCAATCCAAATCTTGGATCTGCATGGCCAAAGATTCGTCCATGCACATACGATCACCATTAGTTTCATCTGGCTCCCCTCGCCCCAAGGGGTCCTCCGGCCAAGGGTCCTGTCGCCGGGTATGACTCTCGCCTTCCACCATTGCGCAGTCTCCGTCGTGCGCATTGCCATGTTGAGAGTTATCACTGGCCTGTGTAGTTTCGTTGGGAATGATTACTGCCCGGTGTTTGGCCGGATCCAGGCCTGCTCCAATCTGAACATGGCATGTGTGAGGTGTCGAAATGGCCGGAGTAATATTACCAGTACTATACAATTTCGTTCCAATGGATGAGACCCGCTCAAGGTTGTGGCTTTGGGTTCCTTCACGCTCCAACATCTGTTTATCCCCAGTGGTTGCCTCTTTACGTGCTACTTGGTCTTTTCCATGATTTGTAACCGTCATCTGCGCTTTTCCTTTGTTCATATGTCTTCTCGAGACTGTATTCCATCCACGCTCCCCCTCGATCCCCTCACTTCGCGCATTCTTGGTCTGATCGGGGAGCGATGATGGCCCGCCAGATTCAAAAGTAGGCACAGCTTCCTGTGGGGCCTCCTTTTCTAGCATCGTAAACCGAGAACCCAATCCTGTCCCATATTTTGAACGTTCCTGATGAGCAGCTGAGGTCTGGTCTGGCCCCTTGTCGCGTCTCGTATATGATCGCGATCTTTGTGGTACCTGAATCCATGGCCCATATTCCGGTGTTTCGATCCTTGCGGTATGTGTATTTGTACCACCAGCCGGGTTGCTGCCCGCATTGTCCGTACCGGCGCCCTTATCATGGTGGGCCCCCTCGGTGCCTTCCGATTCGGTGGTGATCGGTTTGTACAAACACCCGTGACTCGTGTGCCCAATACGACCACAATGGAAACAAATCGTCGGTAAATTTTCGTATACCACACGTTGAAGACGGCCATTAATCATGAAGCTTACACGTAATGGTTTAGTCAGGTCCACTAGTACCGCCAGCCGAGCAAACTTACCGCGTGTGAGTGCCGCAGTTTGTTGGTCGATCTTCACCACCTTGCCAACAATCTGACCAACCTTGCGGAAGATCTTCGTATGATACAGGTGACAAGGGCAGCCCGGGCAAACGGATCCCGTTTGTACCTTCACCAAAGGCAGAAGGGCGAGTTTGTTCTGTTCAAAGGGTCATGTAGGTAGTAGCTCTCCCGGTTCAGTCAAAGACGCGAAAATGTTGGATACGTTCTTCTGTTTGAAGTACGACATTCATTCAGCGCTGCAAAGACGATTCGTGCGGCCGTGCAAGAATTTTTTAGGAATGGGCGACTCCTCAAGCAAGTCCATGTGTCACGAACCTTGGTTGTTGGTGCATCGCCAAAGAAGGGTGTTTTCCATCTTCCAGTTGTATTGCCCTGATCTTCAAACCCTTCCTCTTCATAGAGATTTCGTTTCTGGCTTTCGCGTTGGGACTGATTTGCCATCCTTCCACTTCGCCGCGAAACGAAATATGTCTTTCCGTCTGGAGGTCCCTAACAAGGGAGTCCGAACAACACGTTTTAGAGTAAGGTAATTCCTTATTGGACTCCAAGTTCACGATGGAGCGAGAGGCTGGAGATGGAGAATTATATCAGCCAGCTAATGGAGCCTGATGACGTTTTTGTGGACCCGAAATATCCATTTGCATAATAATAAGACGCCTTGGAGGCATGAACAACTGCTCTAAGGCGAGTGAGTCTTCTATCTACGCCCGCCTTACGGAGGAGGAGAGGCGGGAGCTCTTTCAGGAAATCCTGACCTTGTTTGGTGTCCCCGGTCCCCTTTCCTTGACGTCGAGTCAATGTAATCGATCCTCTCCAGGGACTTCACTTCGCTTCGTTCGTATCGTACCTCTCCACTAATAAGGCGCGTTCTCTTTTGTCGATGTTAGGCTTCAAACGGGACAGAAAAATTGGGGATTTTAGGTCTTAGGAAAACTTCCTTCTTTCGAGAGTCTTACCGAGAAAAAGCTCTTCCTTCTTCTATTACTTCACTTCGCTTCGCTTCGAAAAGTTTGTGGTGACTTGTCGGCCCGGAAGCGCAGTGAAGGAAAGGAGAGGAGCGTCATTTCAGGAAATGGGCTCTCCTTTGTCTTCAAAGGTTTAGGAAAGATTACATTGACGGGTCCACGGCCGTATAAATCGACAGAGACCCAATCCAAAAATGGAGTTCTCACTTCGCGCAGCTTCGTTCGTTGGTCTCTCACTCTCTTTTCTTCTAATCCTGAGGGTCGATTTGGATAAATCCTGGTCAAACTTGCTTCTTGCAAACGAAGCGAAGCGAAGTGAAGTCAGAAGTATTGGCGAAGTTCAGTCATAAGTAGGTCTCGCCTACTCTCGTCTTTCCGTCGATTCATCGTATAGTTGCCGAAGGGTCCGACGTAGGTAGTAGGACGGGAAGCGCAGTTGAATGTGAGATCTAGCTCCTTTCTCGCCTTGGCCTTTTTCCGGGATCGATTGGATTGTTACAAGCCCGTGCGTGAGCTGTGCCTGCTTTTCTCTCACCTTTCAAAGCATTTCACCTTCACCGGCATCCCTAAAGTCAGACTATCTTGGTGTACTGGTCGGAGAACCTCTGCTGGCGCGTCACTCGTCGGAAAGCTTTTTTCGGGCAAAAGCAACCTTGACTAAACGAATAGACACCATAACCGCTATTCATACATTCCGCTAAAAGGAGAGGACACGGAGTGGGCTTTTAGTAAGGCGAAGAGCCCATTGAACATTAATTCAATACGCTTCCTTCCCTGGCTGATTCGCGTAGGCGAGCAAGGAGTGGTGTGTCTGCCTGAACGTTCGTTGCCATGAAAGATGGGCGCACCTCGAGAAAAAGGATGTTATCATGGAGATCGGCTGCGTTTTCACCCGTCTGGTCCTCGTGTGGGTGATTCCCCATCTGATTCGTGAATTGCTTTCTAGCTGTTGGGCCAGTCAAATCGGCTTTAATTCCATAGGGGCAATGGAATAGGGGACTAGCCACCTACAGATAACTTATTGAGTCTTTCTGCCAGCTCGTAACCTCTCTCCTCGCTCAGAAGCTGTGGCACTTATGCCTTCCCTTCAACTAAGGATTGCAGGATGCATGCTAAGTAAATGACGATGGTATCGAATGCAAAAGAGGGTGTGGTTTTGAGGCCACCCTAGCCCATTGAGTGCTCTCGGGCGACATGGGATCTCTTTCTTTAGTTGGCTGCTCACTTGACGGGCGAGGCGCGATGATAATTGCCCTTCCTTGGTCCTCGCCCCCGACTGGTGGATTTGCACGAGATGGAGCGGTTAAAGGATCGGGAAAGGCTTCTGCAGGTGGCTTGGTTAGGGACAGTCAGGGGATGTGGCTTGGTGGTTTTATGGCGAACATTGGGCGTACTTCGGTCCTACAGACTGGCCGAACTTGTTGGGGTAAAGGAGGGATTGCGGTTAGCAAAGCAGCTTGGGGTGACTCGAATCATGGTTGGTATCGACTCTAAACTTTCGGTCTTACTCCTCTCTTTTTCTTCACTTCGCTTCGAAAAGTTCGTATCGTCCCCTTGGGAAAGTAATAGAGAAAAGCCCCTGCCTACAGGCATCCTAATGAAGAGAGAGAAAAAGGGCTATTGGCAGTAGCCATAACCGGAGCAAAGTCAGTAAATAGGATAAGATTGGAAAGCATTGCCTAGGGGCAGGAAGGAGTTGTCGCCAGCTTTGATGGAATTGACGACCGAGAGTGCCTTTAGCCAACCATGCTTTGAAGCAGTAGCCTTGCTTTAGGTCCATTTGCTTGAGAGCTTCCATGCCCGGAGTTGATCTGGGCACAGGGGGGGTTTAGGATTGATGCAATGGCCTGCCCTTCTTACATGATTTATCTAAGAGACCACTCTTCTACTTTGAAAGCGCAAGGGCTAAGTGGATGGTGGCTTTTAGGCCAAAGGCTGCTTGCTTAGGGAAGGCACCGAGGGCGGGGGTAATGGTTGGAGAGTAGGCTTGCTTATTCCTTCTTGCCCTCTCGAACTTCTATGACTGAACTTCTAAAGATTACATTGACCTTGCTTCTTTCCTTTTGTGAACTGGAGCTGAGCTACCTGACCATAGTCACTCAGTCTATTTACTCCCGCCTCATCCGTTGGATGTAAGGAAAGTAGAAGTAGGTATGGAGGAACGAACGAAGCGAAGCGCAGTGAAGTCAAAGAGTTCCTTATTCACAGGACATTATGAACTGTAGCACACCCTGTGAGTACTGAGTTAGATAAAGAAAGGTAAGGCGAAGGGTACGAATGTTAGGATCCGTAGAAATGTATTGAATCGATTTGAGGAGATGATTTTCAATTCTTTGTAGATCCTACCCAGGCATAACAGCTTTAATCCCCCTGAGCCTATCGGCCCAGTTCTTTCAGACCTTCGCCTTACTTAAAAGCTCACCTCGTCGCGTGTAGACCCCCCCCTCCTTCCCCATACGAGGGAATCCCTACTCCTTCGCTATGAGAATAGATGAGAATCCCGAGTAACGAATATCGTACAAGAAGTAAAGTAAAGATGACTTGAACTTCGAAAAGCAGCTTCTCTCTCAACTCCATACTTTGTCTCCTTGGCTTTGGAGGACTCAATCAAAGCTTAAACTGGAAGGCCTTATCCCAATAAAAGCTCCACAGTTGGTAAACGAGAACCAATACAATAATAATCCTTTAATCAATACAGATAGAAAAGTTCAAATGGTTGGCAGCCAAGCCCGGAAAGACACAGCAATATACATCTTCCAAGTCGAATAAGAATAGCTAGCTTTCCTTTTTGCCCGAGACTGGCACTCTATCTAATAGTTGACCTATACCTATCTTCGTTATCGATCATGATTTCACTTCCGCCGAACCGGTTTTAACTATTTATTAGAGGATCGGGAACTCATCAATCCATGCTTATGTGCCACCTCCATTCCATTAAAAGAGCACACACTTCCAAGGATACAAGCCAGTTCTTACTTAAGAGGGAGTCCTTTCTCTTTAAGAACAGCTCCTCAACTGGACTATAGGGAGTCGGGATAGAACGAAAGAACTGCAAATAATCCACTCCATTTTTTTGAATCAAAGCCTTATTGATTGACTGCGCTCCCGCCCGGCCACTCTGACGGGACGACCCCGATTCTATTTTATTAAGAAAAGAGACTTCGGCTATCCATTTTCTACTCCAAATTTAGCAGCTAGCTCCTTCCTACCTTATTAAGTAACCATCATTCGGCATACTTACCGCTCAATTACATCGACCCTCCGGGGGCTTCGTCATGATGCCATCACGATGTCTTGATGGTTGTCTGGGCACTGTACGTTGGATTCCTTTTGTGCGAAGCGACGAAGAGGACGTTCTAATAGTTCGCTAAACTAAAAGCTCGTTAGACCCGCTATACTCTTTCTACCCAGTCAAGCCCTTGCTTGTGGACCTGCTGCAGAGCTAACCCTTTCAATATGTTTCTAGGTTAGGTGGTTTCCGGCTACTATATTTCGAAAAGGAAGTGAAGTTGACTTATTTCCTACCCTCGATTGCATTAAAGTATCATCATTCTTTCGACCTGACCCGTGGTTGTGTCTATTCCTTCTTCTTGGAGGCGAGGATCCTCTCTGTTAACCTATTTTTTTTAAGTAGTATACTATAACCTGTGAGCAGGATCAAGCCCTATAGGTAAAGGGCCATTGTAGTGCGCGATTTCTCACCTTTTCTGGGTCCGATGGCTGATTCACGGGAATCCCTGGAATAGACTCACCGCTCTTTGGGGCCATAGCTGGACCACCCGTGTGAACGGGCTTGAGGTCAATTATATCGAACCTTCTCATTAAGTTCAATCGCTTCGATGCCCACCGCTTTGAGATTCAAGTCTTTCTAAGGCTCGATCTGTACTATGTAGCACGCAGAGAGTCGAAAGCTTTAATAAAGCGTTGCTTGGTGGATCAATCCCCACCTCCTTTGCCTTCTGCTCTCTATTCAGGGCAATAAGGCAGATGTCCCAAAGGCAAGGTACTCCAACCACTAGGGGCCTTAGGAGGAAAGTCCTAAAAGCGATTTAACGAACCTTAACTGAATATAGGAATGGAAAAGAAATGATCATAGCTCGTTGAGGTTATCCGCTAAGAGCGACTCTTGTCATAGTCAACAAGGTTTCAACTTCCAGTAGTTTAGGAGGCCTCTTTAATGATATTTATTAAAAGAATCTTCCGTAAGACTTCCAAGGCATTCTCCAAGCTATTCCTTTTCCTTTGATTCGTCGCATCGCAGGAGCCCGACCAGCATCAATATATGGTAGACGTAGCTGTCATTTCTCCTTCATCCGCAGAGAAGAGCGCTGGCTGGATTGGCTCAAGGGTATGGAATAAATCCTGTCGAAAGGGAGCTGTCTTTTTCCTCGCTTAGGTGAGGTCAATTATATCGAGCCTTTCATTAGGTTCAAGGGAAGGTCCTACTCGTCCCCATTATTTAATTAAGAGTTGGAAAGTGGTTTTTTTCTCAATTCCTTTCTTTGGTATAGATCGTACGAATCGTGCTCAATTACATCGACCCTCGGCCATCTCTTCCTACTAATGGTGGATCGCTTCCGATGGTATAGCAAGGCCTTTCGTCTTCTTCGAGCTCCAGGTGGAAGCTTTTAATGAAAAAGGGAGTCGTCATCCATGGAATTCCAGTGGAGGCCCGGTAGCTGTAGGTAGATGGCCCTTTGTTGGAGGAAAAAGAATAGGAATGAAACTTAAGAGAAGAGCAAGCTCGTCCCCTGGAAGAAGGTGAAAGGCGGATTTCTTCTTTTCCGAATCCTGGATCACAGTTAAGGTTCGTCAGTGAGTACGTGGCCCAGTAATGAAGAGATATCTCAGTCACCCTTACTAAATATAGCCTTTGCTCCCTCTATCGCTTTCGTAGTCTTCCTTTCTTCCTACCTCGCCAGGGTTTGACCTTAGTGCTGCGGGTGGTAAGGTAAACTTAAACTAAAATAAGTCTTATGATTAATCTTCAAATACTCTGTTCCTTCCTCTCCGGGACTTCACTGCGCTTCGCTTCGCTAGCTTAATACTCTTCGATTACATTCACTTCGTTTGTTTCCTTGACGTCAATTACATCGAGCCTCAACCAGGGCTTTAGCTTCATTTACTCTATGAGACTAGTCCTGAAACTAAGAATTGCTTGCTAAGATAAGTAAGGGGACGAAGGAGGGAAGTCAAACGGAGACAAAAGTACGATACAATTGAGAGTCCAATGCCTTGGATTTCAGCTTCCGGAAGCAAGGATGCAGATGCAACTACATGGATTCGGGATCTTTCCCACCCTTGTCTTTAGAAGTTATATCTCAATCGGAATCGGTAGTCGGACTTGCACTTGACCTATCACTCAATGAATCTCAATTACATCGACCCTCATGCCAGCTAGCCAGCAAGAGAGAACCAACCAAACCCAGAGAACGGGAGAGCGGGCAAGCAAGAAAGAAAGTCTCAGGTTGGTCGGGTAGGAAGTGAGTCATAGGTATGGCACACGAGCTTATGGGAAATATTACATGCGGACCATCAAATGAGTAAATCCCAGTGGCTAAAAGGAATCGATTGCTTGTCTTTGATGATGGGGTTTTCTCAATTGTTTTCAGAAATGATAATGCTTAACCCAACAACCGAGGGTCGATGTAATTGAGCTCGACCAAAAGGAGAGAGGCAATTGACGACTGATAAGGAGAGGAAAAGCTGCACGAGTTGCATAAGGATCCGCTATTCAAATCTCTACCCGAAAGCAACAAAGACAACAAAAGCAACTGGAAAGGAAGATTCTGGGATTGAGTCTTTTCTGGCTTCAGGAATAGTAGCCATTACTTCTTAGCTCGTTAGGTGGGAAGCCTTACTAAGTAAATTCCCTATATTCGATAGAACCTAATACGTCCTTATCGGTTCAGCGGTTGGTCCCTTTCTTTCCTCTCCTCTCCCCACTACGCGGTGACTTCACTTCGCTTCGTTCGTATGGTACGGAGTCAAATTCTAGAAAATTTCATTTCTAATCAAAAATGCTATTAAGAAAGTTGATACCCTTGTTCCAATTATTCCTCTGATTGCGTCATTGGCTAAAGCGAAATTTTGTAACGTATTAGGGGAGCAAGTGTAGGCTCGAAAGCCGTAACGCGCTAGCGCGCTTGTAGCTTTCTCGCCCGGTTCGGGCTGATTTATCAGATTCGAATATTATTGACTGGGTGTATATGCAGAAATCTTTCTCATTAGAATAGCCCCAGAGTTTGTATCGAATCAAGTATATACTTCGACTTTCTTGTGCTAGAACTTTGGCTCGGAAACACAAAAGTACTGTACGTACTTTTTTGAAAAGGTTAGGCTCGGGGAAGAATTTCTTATGTCGGAAGAAGACGTTCTTTTTTTGACCAAAAGCTTCTTCCAGTTTGCAGGGAGTATTATATATAAGTAGAATTTGGCATTTGGATATTATTTCGATTAATGATCTAGCCGATCAGAAAGAAAAATTGATCTTTCCCAGATCTCCCGGATTTCCACTATTCTGAAATGTTGATGTAGTATGTAATAAGGGTTAAATCAACTGAGTATTCCCATTTTCTTCTTTCTAAGACTAAGATAAGAAAGGAAATGATGTATACATAGGGAAAGCCGTGTGCAATGAAAACTGCAGGCACGGCTTGGGGAGGGGTTTTTCTTTTTTGTTATTAACCTTCAAAACCCTCCTCACTGTCTGATTCTCGGATTTGGCTTCAGTCACCTTTGGGTACAAACGAAGCGAAGCGAAGTGAAGTCAAAGAGTTCCTTCGGAAAGGTGTAATTGAGAAGATCGGACTCAGTTCCTTTTCGTGATAACTTCATTCTTGGTCCGGTGGGTTAGAAGCATAATAAGAGATTCCCCATCCCGGAATGAAGATTAATGTTTGAATAGTCTTTTCCCGAGCCCAAGGATATAGAAAGCATTGCGGTTGGTTTCTTCTCTTCACAAACAACAGGTCTTGCAGAGCCTTATCTCGAGATTAGCAACAAGGTCTCAAACAAAAGAACCCTCAGGTCGAAACAACGGGTTGTACCAAACCTTCTCATCCGTGTTGTTCTGTCTTCCATGGACGGATGCGGAAATTGGTATTTGTTCTCCTTTCTCTAACATTAGGCGGTACACCTACACTCCCTGAACCCCGATTGCTCCTGGCGTGATATGGCTAGCAGCGTCAATTTGGCATTCGGCAATAGTCAAAGGACTCGCAAATCTTTCAAAAGGAGATGCTGCTGTGCGACACTTGGAAATTCTCCTTCGCCCGATCGCCAGCTAGATTGGCATATCTACGACTACAAATCCAAGATTCTATTCACTGAAAGAAAAGAGAAACGGATAAATGGGATTTCTCAAAAGAATCTGGTCACGCCATTCCTTTCAAATCCTATGAATCACACACCTGAACCACTATCCTAATCTGATAGCAGGTTGTTTTACCTTAGTAGAGCGAACCCAACGAACTTTTCGAAGCAGCAAGAAAACGGATGCGCGTTAGCGCAACGGCTTTCGCGCTAGTTGCTCAATCCGTTGCTTGTTCAGTGAAGTCATAAGTAGTAAGGGAGAGGGAAGGTTACATTGACCTGGGCTACCTAATCACAGAGAAGGGAATCGAGGTCAATCCAGAAAAAGTCAAAGCAGTGCTCGAGATGCAAGCACCTAAGAATCTTAGAGAAGTCCAAGTCCTAACCGGACGTCTTGCCGGGCTAAGTAGGTTCATTGCCCAGTTAAAGAAAAGAGTTTCCCGTTTTTCCGAGCACTGAGGAAGGGATCAAGATTTGAGTGGACACCCCAAGCTCAGCAGGCTTTCAATCAGCTCAAAGAATTTTGGGAAAACCTTTTATTTAAAGCAGCTGGTGGATCTTTTCGAGGTCAATTATATCGAGCCTTCGTTTCCTTCCTTAGATCGTTTCTGGATTGGAGATCTTACATTGAACTCGACTCCACGTATTGCTTGACGTAAAAGAGATAGTGGATTTCTTTGCGTCTTTTGTTGAATTTTTTTCATGGCTCGATAGAGAATTTGATAAGCCCATCGCATCAACCTGGGAGCCTTTTATTGGAAGTCAGCTCCTTGGCAATTCAAAACTGGAAAGCTTATTTCTTTCTCTGCAGCAATTGCTCTCTCAATGTCTGGTGGAGGCAATGAAATTGAATTGAGGGTGCCGCAGATAGCTCGAACTCAGGCCTCAAGCCCATCAAAAACTTAGGGAGCCCCTAGTACAGTACACGATCTGATCTAAAGAGGAGCCGAAGGCTAAAGGCACCTGCCCTAAAACAGTGACGTAGTAATAGGAGGGAGTCCCATGGGATAAAAGTCTAGAAGTCAATCAACGAAGTCAGAAGTTCTAAGTTAGGAAGTGAAAGCAGAATCTTTTAAGTCAGTTTCGGCTCGACCTTGAAGACAGTTTTGAGTAAGTAAGGTGATTGTATCCAGCGCTGTGGGAGAACCCTATAATGCAGTATACCCTTTCTTCTATCCTCCCTATGCTGGAGATTCGATGAAAAAAGAGAAGAAGAATTCGTATACTTCACTTCGCTTCGAAAAGTTTGTAGGGTCATTTATGAAGCTCTGCTAAAAAAAGATTAGGAGTTACGGTCTACAGCCCCGGACACGGTCTTCGCACCAGTTCGCACTAGCTTCCGAGTTCGCCTAGGGGTTTCAGACAGATAATATGCTCCGGACACAGACCCGGCGGGTACAGTCTTCGCTTCGGAGAGGAAGGGTTTTAGACAGAAGTCCGGTAGGCCCGGAGCCGGCTTTCGCTTTCTTGTTCACTACCGGCTTATTCGCTGGTTCCACCATTCAACCGTTCAACCGTGGATCACACACCCTGCCTTACTCGCCAGGACTGGCCTGGGAGTTAGGATCGATTACATTGACCTCACTCCGAAGCTACACGAGGGTATGGACACAGAAGCAGGAACACGGGACGACGCATAAAGCTCACAAGCTGATCTATCTTCTAAGTCAATTATTTGTTGGATCTCAATTACACCTTCCCTCGTACGAACTTCTATTCTTTCACTTCGCTTCTAAAGATTACATTGACCTATGGTCGTCAATTTCATCGAACCTTCGTCCTCTTCACTGTTCTCAAGGTAAGGTGGCGAGTGACTCTCGTCGCAGCTACCCTGCGCCTTGGGATTATCCCGCTGCTCGGAATTTTTGGTTTCGGATTGTGGGGAAGGTGAGGTCAATGTAATCGAGCCAGATTCGAATAAATAGCATGAAGGTGCTAAGCTGATGTGGGGATAGCCGCCACATTGGTAGAAGAAGAAAGGCATCCCCTTCCAGTTCTTGTTTCAGTAGCAGATGATGATGGTTGAGGATAGATGTAATTTAGAAGCGAAGTTCAGTCATAGAACCAAACCAAAACCTGAAGACGAGCTGGTGCTCTACTTATCCATAGGCAATGTGGCTATCAGCTCGGTGCTGTTGAAGGAAGAAGGAGGTCGGCAGAAGCCGATCTACTATGCCAGTCGCGTGCTGCAAGGTGTCGAGCAAAGGTATTCCGAGGTTGAGAAGGCCGCGCTGGAACTATTATCAACAGCCCAGAAGTTACGACCCTACTTTCTGGCACACAAGGTCATAGTCCAAACTAACTACCCGCTGAAAGACACCCTGGGCCGACCCTCGGCCTCATGGAGGATGGTGAAGTGGGTGGGGGAGCTTGGAGAGTACAACGTCGAGTTTGAAGTCAGAAGAGCAATAAAAGCCCAAGCCCTAGCTGATTTCATACAAGAATGCACGATGGAGAAAGAGGTCGGCCAATGTAACGTCTATGTTGACGGCTCCTCAGCTGTTGGAGGGGCAGGAGCAGGGGTGTTGATTGTAACACCAGAACAGGACCATCTCGAATTCGCCGTAAAACTCTCTGATCTACGACCACCCTCGAACAATGAAGCAGAATACGAATGTTGAAGGTCAATTGCATCTTTAGAAGCGAAGTGAAGTCAAGATTTGGCTCGTTGAGACCTGAGATTCATGATGGTGACGAACCAACGAGTGGGAATGTTTGGCGGGGAAGGTGTACTATACCACCGCCCAAGTGTTTGGGATCGAAGGACCTAGAAAGAAGATTCAATCTAGTTCATGGGCTCAGGCGCAAAAATGTCAAAGACTCAAAAGGAAGTCGGAGCTTGGTCCACATCGAGAACAAACGTTCGTAATGAACGGATCTCCGATGGTCGAGCCTGCCGAATCCTTATCCCCGCCTTTCAATCAGTACTAAAAAAGCTAACCCCAAGCACTGGATGCCTTAGCCGATTGGACTAGATCCACCACTGAAAAGCATGTAATCTTCTTTCCATAAGTCAAAAAAAGTTTCAGAATTGTCTAAGCATTCCTTTTTGACTTCTTTCCCCGAGGAAGTCAAATTTCTATGAATTTCGGAGTTAATGATCGTGGACGCATTGCTCTATCTTTTGGAACCCGTGGTGGATCAGCATCTAACTCTCTTTCCCCAGCCTCTACTAAAGATTTTTTTGCGGCGGAGCTGGCATTCATAGCGGAGTGATAGACATATCTAAGGATAAGGACTCCAATAGAATGAAGCCCCGGGCCCGGCTGATTGAAGCCCCTTGCTAAGGCCAGGTCCTGCCAATAAGGATTGTTTTGACGTTCTTGGGGACCTTCTTTGTATTGGCGTTGCCTAGGGATGGGACTTTCAGGTTCGATGTAATTGAGTCTTTCGCAATAGGAATATTAGGAATCGGAAGCAAACGTAAGCATCTTTGGCAATCGCTAAAGTAAGGAAGAGTGGAGTTAATGAAAGGCCATGGGGACATCGTTGACCCAGTGGCCCTGAACCAGATCTTTCGACATCCGTGGCTATTAGACAGGATTCACTCAGTCTTATGGAACTCTCTACGAAATCGGCTCTGACTTGGCTCTTCTAGCGTGCCAATATTTGATAACGCGAGAAAGAAACTCAGTAACCCATCATCTCGCAAACTCTGCATCCGCGGTCAACTCACCATCAGTCCCATCACTCTATCTACTCCTGAAATTCCTTGTGACGACCAATCATTCCATTTCAGAATCAAATCCCCCCTTCAAATCTTGACTTCACTTCGCTTCGCTTCTAAAGTACCTTTATAGTCTCAATTACATCGAACCTAGCTAGCTCTCAGTATAAAGGGATGTCCCTGCCTGGGATTGGGATGCTATGTCTCTTAGATACCTACCTTTCCCAGCTCAGAACGCTAATCGAAATAAAAGAGAGGAAGGTATATGTCATGTCTAAAGGTGAAAAAAGGTTTTTTTCCTTCACTTCGCTTCTAAAGTTGGGTCGATTACATTGAGGTTCAGTCGGTTCCGCACACCTGCCCGACAATCGCTTGGCTGGCTACATTCTCTGTTCGGTTGGCTCGGAACTAGCACTGTTTTCCCGTATCTGTTAATAGATAGGAATAGCGAGTCAAAGAACAAGCCAAGCACGCACGAGAGAAGTCTTACCTCTTTGCCTGCGCCACTCGCACCAGAACCCTACGTCAGGAATTCTATCTCACCCGACAAGGGAGTCTTTGATTCGCAGCATTCATTGCCAAATATGTGGATTTGCCAAGGTGCCCAACTGAAAGACTAATGGATGTCTAGGATCGATGTAATTGACCTGAGGCGAGCTAGTGACTGAGCGAGCTTTTCTTTTCACAAGTAGGGTTCAACCCTGCTACGAAGCTACTGAAGCGAAGCTTACTGACCGAGCGCGCTCCCTTATCGTTCGGGCTACCCACCCGGGCATCCCTTCTCTTGGGCTGGCTACGAGCTTTTCTTTTCACAGTAGGGATGGTTAGATCCTGAACCGAAGCTTTAGCTACAACTGAGGTTCGATGTAATTGACGAAGCTACTGATACGAAGCTGACTGACCGGGCGAAGCTTTTCTTTTAACAGTAGGAGTTCAGTAGCTACCTTCCTCAGACTAAAGCTCTGAGCCCCCTTTCTTAAACTAAATAAAGTAAAGCTCCCGGACTATTCACCTTACTAACAGCTACACTTATCTATTAGGCTCACCTCCTTCGTACTCTTCCCTTACTTTAAAGCTCAGCCACTTCGTGCCCTCCAAACAGTTCGCCTATCGTATCAGCTACATTCATAGAAAACAAAGGTATCTGATGATAATAAGATGGACTACCACTGCAAACAATAACTATGAAGAGAGAAAGAAGTCGACTGCTCTCACCTCCACTAGAGAAATTGGTGCTCGCAAACGAAGAATAACGCTTTTCGGCGAGCCTGACGGAACAGAGAAGACATCCAATCATGGGAAAGCTGCCATTCCTGGGTGGGCATCATCCATCCCCAGCCTTTCAGGAGGCCATCTACGGAATCGTCTTCCAAAATGACATTGAAATCGACATCTGCTACAAATGGAAATGTTNGACTCACCGACCTATCCTATAAGGGACGAGCCCAAGGAAAGGGCCGATCAAGACAATCAACAAAATCCTAAATCCAATCGAAAGAAATGAATAAATAACAATGAAAGAAATCCAATAGATGTGGGTGCCATTCAACTAGCAATTTACTATAAAAGAAAGGAGGATACAGTTCGTTTCAATCGAATGCGGAAAACTCATCATAAAGGTGGTGATCACTAATGCTTTTAGTTGGAGTTGGCTTCCGAGGTGCCCGGTTAAGAAGATGATACCGAATCCTCAAGGCATCCCTACGTAGTGTGGCTAGTCACTCTTGGCCAACTCCCTCCGGTCGAGTGGAACAAAGGCTCCCGGCCGATTTCAATAAGAAAGATATATGACCTTCCCATAGAAGATAAGGCCTCATGCTTGTAGCTTCTCTTCTTGCTACTCGCAACTAATAAAGAAATTGCTTTCTATAAGATCAAATCATCCCGTTCTCCTACTACGTCCTATTCGACCCAACGCTACATACCCGAACCGGCCCTCAGTCCTATATGAGAAGAATCTTTCTTACCTTTACAACCTTACTCGACCAAAGGCGCGATGTAATTGCCCTAAAGGCACCCTCTCCTTTCAGTCCTCCCTCTCTTCTATGACTACACTTCGCTTCGTTTTTTAGAGTCAATTGCATCGAACCTCATTGTTCGTTCTTCCTTCGGTGAAATTGTCAATCCACCTGTTGTTATAGTGAGCAGCGGTGTCATCCACAACTCAAAAAGTTGAGATCTTTGCCTTTGTTTTTGCTTTATGGGTGGTAAAGTCGTCCACCACGTAGTCAGGTGGCCCCCACATCAAGGTGACAGGATTCGAACCTATAGTCCCCTGTACCCAAAACAGATGCGCAGACCAGTCTGCGCTACACCTCGTCTCAAGCCTCGTCTCCCCGTAAAGACTCGGGAGCCCCGGGAACAGGGAGGCGAGAACCACCCACGGCTTTTTATAAGAACCCAAGGAGTGTTTTCAGTTAAACCGCAGAGAGGGCGACTCAATTCGTCCGCTCGCTCTCGGTGGACCCGCTCAGAAGTGGATTCGAACCACTGACCCAAGGATTTTCAGTCCTTTGGTCTAACCAACTGAGCTACCTGAGCACAAAACGCCCTAAGTTCTACTTGATTGAAGCATATAGCTGGCACGCTACTGTCTTCCAAAAGAAAGGTCAGATCTGTCTATCTACGAAAATATATCTTCGATGCTGATCGACACTCTACGAAACTATACGAGAACGCTGAAAGCATTAACCTACACTCATTCTTATGTGTAATGAGTAGCTATTATGTAGTTAGAATTCATTCCACTCGGTTTTGAACACCATTGACGAAACTCTTCTTAAAAAACGTTAGGGCGGGGAAGCTCAGCCGAAAAGGTGCATCTGGATCTGGAAAAAGGGATTATCCTTATCCTAGGCATTTTCCCAATCCTCCACAGTCACTATTTTCAGGCAGTGTAGTACGATTACATGCAACTTGACCTGAAGCCGCCAAAAGGAAATTCGAGACTTATTACCAACGCAAATATAGTTTGTCCGACTCACTAGGGAAGAGAGCCGAGCCCAGAAAGAAGATTTCATTGAATTATCCGGTAGGAAGGATACTTACTATGAGTCAAGTGTGCGGATGAAAGGAGGAAGTTGATAGGAAGGCATTTCGTCTCTAGTGTAAAAGCGCCGCAGTAGGCGATGTCATAATTGGGAGGTATTTCTTCTCTAGCTTTGGTATATCCTCTAAAGGGTGCCTTGAATGTTGGTGTATTTTTTTTAAAAGGAGAAAACGGAACTGAGAAGCAGGCCTCATACTTCCTGGATGGATGCCCTTCTTATTCTGAGACTCATGAACTTGCTGGTTCTGTTCTCTCGGTCCCATATGATCCATCCCTTAAAGGTGGTTCTGTTCGCTCTGGTCCAGCACTCACATCTAACTCTTTTGCCAGAACAGACTCTAATAGGGCTTTAAAGACTTGGCTGAAAGAGCCTTTTCCTCGGGTCCCTTATACACGGATCAAATGGTCCCATCCCGGACTGGCTAGGTAATTGGGAACCAGAACGCTGCTTGACACCAAGAATATGCCTCATACGTATGATTACATACCTTTCAGTCGAGTACTACCAAAGCTGTAGCTTCGTACCTTGCTTTAGCTCTAGCTTCCGCACCATGATAGTTGATTGCCACCAAGGTTCGATGTAATTGACCTCCGAGTGCAGCAGAGATTGTGGTTCCATACGTTAGATACATCCCATACACTACCTCGATCAGAATCAATTCCAACAAAGCTATAGCCGTTGTAAGGTTCGTAGCCTTTATAACATAAGGCTGGTCTAGTGGCATACCTTTCAGTTACATAAACTGCTCCGGATGCCTGTGGACTCATCGATCAACCAGTGACGAGAATAGACTTCTTCGTAATAGAAGAAAGACTGGCTTAACTCCTTCTTTCCCATGTAGTATTGGTTTGGTTGGCACAGTTGTTGATTGAACAACTGGTATTCCCTGTCTACTAATAGGCTTGGATGAGAGATCTGCTCCACAACTATATCAGTGCTTAGCCTACTCTTTACCAAAGCATATCTCAGTCGCAACACTGGTATCAGCACCAGTACCAGAAAAGGTAGTTCAACTCAAAGAAAGAACGGAGAGCAAGGAAGAAAGAAAGTGTTCCCGAGATCCCAAGTAGCCATCTCTCTCAATTACATCGACCCTTTGGTATCAAATTGTATAAGATAGCTCGAAGGTGGTCATGTGGAATAGGCTCACTGACAGTGTGATAGCAATGAGGTTGTATGTTAGAGAACCAGTCTTCTTTCTGAGAAGAGATTAAGGCTGTAACATCTATGACATCCATGTAGTTAGAGAACGTTGGCTCAATGATGTTCATATTGATTAACTTATTGATTGAGAGTGGAGCACCCAATCTACTAAAGACATTGCTATAAATTCTAGGTATCTTTCTGGTAGAAAGATATGGTGTAATAAAGTTGTCGTGGACTGTGTAGATAGGTGCACAGAGTTCAAGCATTCTGTCAACTACACTCATAGCAAGAAAGGCATCCGGATGAAGTTCACGAAGGTAGAGATTTCAGTCTTCCGGAGATTTCGATTAGGAGTGGGAACTCGGAGAGTCACCCGACGTCTCTTCTTGCGCAAACTATCATATACCCCAGATGTATACTTAAGTGGATTCCGACTTCGACGATTTCCAAATCAAAAATACACTTGCATTGAGTAATCCCATCTGAACAGAACTTAACACATCTGTATAGATGCGCAACCGGCTAACGTGCTCCTGTTCGAGCAGACATAGGAACAGCTAGCATAGAGCGAAGCTCAACCAGTTCAAAGCCCTCTTCATAGAATGTCCGGAGACATGAATGAGAAGGTGGTTTACTTACTTTTGTACTAGCGTGAGCGTACTTGTGTGTTAAAGGGCAACTTTCTTTGGGCTGCTAAGTAGAAGCTATAGGCTAAATAGGCATGTATGCTTTCGCGCCTTGCTCTTAAGTAAGGTGAAAGCTAGTTACTTGCTTCTTAAAGGTGCTTGCCCTCTCCGATCTGGAGTTCTATAGCTTTTTTAGTGTGCTACTTTCAATCCTTAGTAGCGGGCGCCTATATCATAGCATAGCTGTTACTGTGCTTTCTGGTTTAAGAAGCCAGCTACACACCTTGCTTTTAGTTGCAAGTTTCTTTGATTTGGGAATAAGCTGAACAAAAGACGTATGACTTAAGAAAGTCAGATCGGAGATCTGTTGTCGGGAAAAGGAGAGTAGCGGAACGGTACTTTAGAATAAGAATGCAAATAATAGGTCCCTTTCTAACTAAGAAGTTCTTTATTGGAACTTACCTCTTTGTCCGGCAAGTCGCTTTATTCTATTAGGAACACACTCTTCAATACTCTTTTCTTATAGTAGTTACATAAATTTAGGAATATAAAAGAACTCATTGGCAAACCATCTTGGCTATATCATTCCCGCCTATTTCTATATGCTATTCTAGCCTTTGCTTTTCAAGCTGTGCCTCGGTTGTTCAAGAAGGGGAGCTGCGAAGTTTCACTCACCTCTATCCTTGCCCTTTCCTTGCTTGTAAGCCAAGCCTTCACATCTAACTGTAAGCGCTCTTCCGTTATTTCGATCCCCGCTTTTCCTATTCCTTGGGCTATGCGCAATCAACTGTTAAGACGTAAAAGTCTGATTGCCGCTACGTGGCTCTCTTTGGCAAGTGTATATGGACTTATACAATGCCGTACGATGTACGCGAGTTTCAATTCACTTTGAAGTTCTAGTTCGATCCAAGGTGAAAGGAATATACAAAACAACCATGAAGGGGGGTATCTTAGCGACAATGAATTATTATGATGTCCGTATGATGCTACCGCACTCCTGCCGGCCCACATAGGTTGGTGGTAAGAAAGGAATTCCCCGGGGCAACCAAGCTCCGTATTCAATCCCTAGCTTCGAACAAACCTGTTAGCTGATGGCCCTTTCTCCCCCTTTCAGTCGAGCATATTGAAACCTTCTATCTTTCTCATGCTGCTCTTCCGACGTTCACAAATCTCCTGTTTGGAGCTTTCCTGCTTGTGAGTGAGGTTAGAGCGCTAACTAGACCCATTGGATTCTATTTTTCTTTTACTTAAAGGACTCTCTCCCCCGATCCGGATTCTGTGCTCTATGAGTGATCAACCGTGTCTCTTTGAGTAGTTAAAAAGCATAAAAAAAGCAGTGGGCCTATCTTCTTACTTAACGAGTTTATGTCGCCCTTCTTCCCATCATCTGAAGATTTTCTTTTTAACAATGGAATCATGACAACGTCTAGTTCTGCTTCTTGCTCTTTTGCAAGAATGTCTTTAGTAGCGTTGAGAAAGAATAAAAGCCAACCATATGAAAAATCCCGGGACAGCTATACTGATGTGTCAACGGTACTTCTATGATCTGATCTAATCGAGAATCATTCTCCAACTAGTCAGGAAATATCTGAGTAAGATGTTGAAGGAAATGGCTGTCAGGCAGAAGGCTAAGCATCCCTTGGCTTGGATTAGGAGGAGAAGGTATAAATGGAAGACGCACCGGCATCGGATTTTTTCTTGGCATATTCTTTCCTCTTAAGTTCCTTTTGGAATACCTTATGTTGGGCCGTCTGCACCTCCTTTATAATTTGAGACGACCACAGGTTTGAAGATACTCGACCAAAGGGAGAGGAGGTCTTGTGAGACTTGACGCGAAAGGAGAGGTCAATGTAATCTTTAGAAGCGAAGTNGCTCCGTGCGTGTGCGGGCTGTGCGTGCGCGCTTGCTGCGTGCGCGTGTCCTGCTTGTGCGCGCGCGGAGCTACTCGGGTCAGCACGGGTCAGGTGGCGCGGGGCGTTACATTCTCCCCCACCTGTTGTGGCGACGTCCTCGTCGTCTCGTATTTCTCGAGGGTGTCTCTGAATTGCCATAAATCCTCCTCGACTCGGGGAGGTCCTTCCACTTTATTAAGTACCGTTTCTTTGGCGGTACCCCTCGTCGCCGTACTATATCGGATGTGAGCACCTCGTCCACTTCCTTGTCGAAAGACTTGGTTGTGATCGGTGGTGCCCTGAATGATAACCCTCGGCTTGGGTCTTCCATGTCCCCTTTGTAAGGCTTTAACATACTCACGTGAAAGACTGGATGGATTTTGAGTGCTGGAGGTAGATCGACCCGGTATGCCACGTTGCCTATCTTTTTAATCACCGGGAACGGTCCCTCGTATTTCCTCACAAGTCCCTTGTGCAAGCTTCGAAAGGTCTTGAATTGTTGTGGCAATAGCTTCACAAGGACTAAGTCACCTTGGGAGAACTCTTGTGGACGCCTTCTTGTGTCAGCCCATTTCTTCATTCTTCTACGGGCTCTTTCCAAGTATGATCGCGCTAAGTCCGCTTGTTTCTCCCAGGTCTTTGCCATTTTCTCGGCCCTAGGGCTCTTTCCTTCCTTCGCGGGAAGGGAAATCGTGTGCGGTGTTAAAGGTTGTCGCCCTGTGACCACCTCGAATGGGCTATACCCAGTTGATTCACTCCTCTGCAAGTTATATGAAAATTGGGCCNTGGAATAGCTCATTGTGTAGGGTGCAGAACGTGGCAGGGGCAATTCGACTCCTGTAAGCTCATGTCGTGTCTCCCTCAATTACACCTTCCCTCTCCCAAATCTTTTCTACACTGCGCTTCGCTTCGTTTGTATCGTCACCTCTGCAAGTTATAAGAAAATTGGGCCACATCGAGTAACTTGGACCAGTCCTTTTGGTTGGCACTTACGAAGTGCCTTAAGTAGCACTCAAGTAGCGCGTTCACCCTCTCGGTTTGCCCGTCGGTCTGGGGGTGAAAACTCGTTGAAAAGTTGAGCTCGGTCCCAAGGAGCTTGAAAAGTTCGGTCCACAGTCGTCCGGTGAATCTCGGATCCCTGTCACTGATAATACTCCTTGGTAGCCCCCAGTGCTTGACCACGTTTTTGAAAAACCCACGGGCAGCCTCCTCGGCGGTGCAGTCTTTGGTGCATGGGATGAAGGTCCCATACTTTGAAAATCGGTCCACCACGACCATGATCGACCCGCATCCTTCGGACTGTGTACGGGAGCTAATAAAATCTAGGGTGATGGAATCCCACGGTCCTGCGGGTATTGGCAATGGCTCTAATAGTCCCGCCGGGTGCCTGTTCTCGACCTTGTCTTGTTGGCATACAAGACAGGTCCTCACGTATGTCTCCACGTCATCTTTAAGTTGGGGCCAAAAATAGTTGGACTCAAGTAAGGCCACTGTCCTCCGTTGGCCCGGGTGACCCGCCCACTTGGTATCGTGGCACTCTTTCATGAGATCTCGTCTCAGGCCGTCCCACCTTGGCACAAATAATCGTCGCCCTTTGGTGTAGAGAAGACCGTCCTCTACCCAAAAGCGTTGGGTTTTTCCCTCGTTTGCAAGGTCCATTAGCGCCTTTGTGTAGGGGTCCCGTTCGAGCCCTTCTCGAATACGGGTAAGGATATCCCCGTCAGCTTTGCTGATAGCTGAGAGTTCGGCCTTTCGACTAAGTGCATCGGCCACTACGTTTGCCTTCCCCGGCTTATATTCCAACGAGTAGTCGAACTCGGCTAGAAAATCTTGCCATCGGGCTTGCTTTGGGGAGAGCTTCTTTTGGCTAAGATTCTCAACAAGAGTAAAAAACCTCAAGGAGGAACGAATCATAGCCACACTATGGGGATGTTTACAAAGAAGACTCATGAGCAGTCCCTATATTATGGGAAACCAAATACGAACAGAGGTTAACTTAGCATACAATATAGGAAAGGCCTTCATAACAATAATACCAAGAGCGAAAGAACAATTTAAGACTGAAGATAAGGACCTGAGGCAGTGGGAAAGCGCTATAAAAGAACTGAACAATCCAATAATCAACTATAGGGCAATTTTTGAGGAAAAGGCGATTCTCGATAAGTACAGACATCAAATAGTCTTAATCACTAGAGAAGGAGAATTCTACAGGTTAGTCCCTTGGTTTAGAAAAACAAAAGAAATTTGTTATGACTTTCTGAAAAGCGAATCGTATACCAATAGTAGCCGAAAAACAGAAGACCACTTTACCCTCGCAATTTCGGAAAAGAAGTCCAATAGCCGCATTACCCGGAGAGCCCGAAGCCATACCATCCGTATTCACTTTCATCCATCCAGAAGGTGGAGCATTCCATTTGACCAGAATGGGGGTCCTTACGAGACCGTGGTCTCCCTATGATACCAAAAGCGCGAAGACTCCTTCTTTCCTCTCCTTTCAGTCGAGCATATTTCAACCTTGCCATACAGTTGTAGTCCTAAGAACGTCTAGTTCCCCTTCCCTGGGAGCCCTAATCTCTTTTTAAGCTGTTGAGCTCTTGCGAGCCATTTCATTTTGTAAGCCCATCCAATTCAATTGCATAAAAAAGGCCAGTTTCCATTCTGCTTTCAGTGAGAGAGTGAGTTCAAGAAAATGCTCTACTCGCCCTCGGCCTCTAGGCTTTGCTCTCCTAAATAATATGCTTTTTCCCATATACAACGATGGATAATTTTGTGAATAGGCTTTCTGGACCTTCAGATGAAAATAGAGATTTTTGGAGGTCAATTACATCGAGCCAGTGAAAAGGCAAACACATCCAATTACACTTCGTCGGTCAAACCTTCCATTCATACCTCTTATACCAAAACCAGTGAGAAAGCATTCTTGACTTCACTTCGCTTCGCTTCTAAAGTTGAGATGCAATTGACTACTGTACTGAGAGGAGAGGAAAGGTGTAATTGAGTCAAGTAAAGCGGTAGGGAATTGCTGGTACTTTCTTTCACCGATAGATCGGACTGCTTACTTGCCTGGCTGGTTCGTTAGGCTTAGGATTTCAGACAGAAAGTAGGCGTAACCCAGCTAAGGCTTGCCTTCTTAGATCGCAAGCTTAATGACTGGTTTCCGGGTAGGAGGCTTCCTTGACTGCTCATGAGTACTAGTTTAGGAGTTAGACAAAAGGTAGCAGACCTGAGATCCGTCTTCGGCTCGTTCGCCTTGTAGTCATATGAGGCTCATACTAGCTGGTTATCCCTATCAAGTCAAGTGGGAGGAGCAGAAGGTTTTTGTCCTACCTTTCTATCCCCTTTACTGGATATGGGGCTTATTCGGAGTAAAGTCCCTCCTTTGCACTAACTGGCTCGCTTGTACCTGTATGCTTGCGGACTGACTTAGGAAGTAGACCGAATAGCCGATATCCGAAGTTCCTGTCTTCGCCTCTTTACCTACTTTCTTGTCTAGTTCGTACGGATTGATCTTCCTACTACTACTGCTCCTGTTACTGCGCCTGTTCGCTTAGGAGTTCTTACCGAAGGGAATATGCCCCGGACCTTTCTCTCCTTTAATGCTTCCCACTAGCTGGCTCGTTCGCTAGGCTTAGGAGTTTTTCCAGAAGGTGTGGGGATTCCATCCACAAAGACAAAGTTTATGGTTGACTGATATGCAGATCGATCTTCTAGCAAGTGGAGCTAGAGACCCCGAGCCATGAGGATTAAAAGAACGAATGCAGTAAGGGAATTACCTTCTTTTATGCTACCAAAGATCAAGAATGAAAAATAGAAAGAAAGGGAATTTCTTTCTCCAATCCCTTAACTTAAGAAATTTAGGTCAATTACATCGAACGAACTGTGAAAACCCCTTCCTAAGCTTCGCCCGGTCCAGTCTTTGCTTCGGTCAGTAAGCTTCGGTGTAGCTGCGGTATCCCAAACTTAGTTGTGAAAAGAAAAAAGCGCGTGCTGTCCGGTTCGATCTGATTCGCGACATTCATACGGTATGGAGCCATTCGTGGTCGCAGACCCGTTAGTCGTCTTACTGGGTCAGAGTCGAGGATTCGCCCTTCCGATGTGTCACTCCCTCAGTTTCAGCCCCCGAGTTTATGGGAGTTGGGGACCGAGGGTCCTTTCATTTCAGGTGATCAGTATCGGTTTTCTGTTGGCTCGTCTCTCTCCTCGGTGTCCGCCTTCTTGTCGCCCTATTATCTATTGTGTATCTTCCCTAGTAACAATCAAAGAAGACATTCTAAGGCCTCTTCTCAGAAGCCTACCTAGCTCGAATGGACGGTTCTTTTCGATCCACGCTTCGCCATCCTAAGCTTCACCCTCTGATAAAGAGTGAACAGCTGAGAAGAATGGCATACAGGAGGAAGACCCATCAAAGTCCATCTTTCTCTTCCTGCAAGCTACTGAGATATGCCTCCTGGCATTGATAGCGATTGATCGAATTCCTACTCTGGTTTGAGAAGCTTTTCTGTTTTCCTTATCTCTCGTGCCTTTGAACTGTCCTGACTTAAAAGAATTTAAAATAAGTATATTGATTAGTAAATAAACCGCCTTCGCTGGCTAATCCCTATGTCTTGGTACTCTACCCCCCTAAGAGAATTGTGTTATCGTTCAACTGCTGCTACTCCCCGAGCATCAGCAGTATCACTTGCTTTGCTTTATCGCTTCTCTCTTTAGTGCAATCACTAACCGACCGATCAAGTAGCTCAAGTGGAAGAAAGCAACCTAGAGAAGAAGGACAGGCCAACTTCTGCTGCTATTTCCGAATCCTCATCAAAGGCAACTCCCATCTATTTTGGACTTTCCTTTCCACAAATAGATATGATCAGTAAACGTATCACTGCCACTCCAAATGCGTAACTAAGGATGCTCTGAGATTCTCGCATATCCATGTGGCATCGGTTCCTTTCGCCAATCCCTCATTATTTAAGCTCTAGCCTGCATACCCGTCATTGCTATTGCATGAAATAATATAATCATACGTTAGCAGTAGTAGATTAGTAGTACATCAATGGTTGACTTTCTATAAGAAGGCGCATGTACTTGTCTAGTAGAAAGCTATGCTTGACTTTACTCTGTGCTTCGCTTTCCCTTCCTTTCTGTGGTAGCTAGGCCTGGTAGCAGGGTTAACGCTAGCATGTTTTCGATTCTTGGCGGACAAGACTCGACCGTGGGAAATTGACTTATTTAAAGAAAGAAAGTCGTAAATCATACCATAAAAAAAGAGTCTACGCCTTTGTTCTGCTGCCAATTACTTTACCAACCCATATCACGCGAACTCTTTCTGTGCCTCGTGATTGCTGAAGGTCACAGAGGAGGATGGTATTGAAGTTCCAACCCCAGCGAGCAGGCGTTTGTTTTCCCATAAGTGATGTAGGAAAGTCTGGAGATACGGATTCAATTGCTTATTGAAAGTCGGAATACCAAGTTTCTTTCGAGTCGAGACGCATTTATAACAAGCTCCCTTTCCTCGTCGTAGTGAAAACATTCGAATTCAGTAGAAGTACCCTTGAGCGATCGACGTTTACCAGCCTAATCTTCCAAATACCACCTTTCTAAGCTGTATAAACATCGCTTTCAAGCATAGGGGGAAGACAGACTGCACTTTAGTCCGAGGGAAAAAGGAGTGAACCAAGCCATTTAGCGAGGTCCCTATATTAGCTGAAGCCTTGATAATATTCATTCAGGAACCAGGACAGATTGCTTTTGGATGGATTATTTAGTATACTAAGCACAGCAAAGGATTCATGCTTCCAAGCTCTTCCGGTACGTAGCCTTCAAGCTGGTTGCAAGAAAAATCTATACAAGAAAGAGAGTTTAGGACCTCCCGGCTCTTCGTCATGAATTCCTCCTCATCTATTCCTACAGAATCTGTGCCATATGTACTGAAATTCTTTCTTCGACATGGTAAAGAAAGCAAAAACAATCTCCTAGTCCTATCCGGTCTAGGTTCCTAATCTGATTCCTTCAATATTTAGTGCGAATAATTGCTTTCTTGGTGGGAATAGATCCTCAGATTGAGATTATTTACTTCATGCTTCACACATGTAGGGATGTTGGATCCGATACTGGCTTGAGAATGATTCGGGCTGAAGTAACACCCGTAATCAAGTTTCGAAATACAACAACTACACAATGAGGACAGGCAAATGCCTTGGGACAATGAGATTCTAAGCCAAACTAGTATGACACAGTTGGTTAGAATGGTTTGAGGGAAGGGAGGCTTCTAGTAAACTCTCCTACTGATAGCTTCAAGTTTTATATTATGACTGCCAGGGAAGATGACGATTACATGGATCCAAGGGATTCCCTTAGTGATACTACAGTTGGCAGGTTTCTTGATATTTACACAAGCTCTAGCGCTGAACGTCAATAATGAGATTCAATGCACAACTTTTAATGGAGGTAATTCACGTTTTCACTCATGGTACACTAAATATGGTAATGCCGCCTTCCCTCACTACAGTATCAATATGTGTCAAAGCGGTGTAATTTGTCCACCGGAAGTTTCGTTTACTCTTTGCTGGCTAAATGGCTGGCTTTTTAAACTACTACCACTAAGTCTACGATTGACTCATCTACCCAAGCTCGAGATCGACTGCAATTCTGAGGGAATATTTTCTAGTTGGCTTGAGCGAGAACCGGTATTCACATTAGTGAGTCATTCTTTCCTGCTTAATATGGCGATCGACTTTCCTTCCTCGCCGAAGGTTTCAAGGCTCGAGCTTCTCTTCTTTCTTTTGGTATGATTTTTATACGAGTTTTCTATCAATCAAAGGAAGGGAATGCAGATGGAAAGTTACGGAAAAGCAATACAATAAATAGTAAATGCTACGCCTAGAACTCCTACTCCCCAAAAGAATCCTCTACAAGGCTCGTTCCCGTCCTCACTCTTACTTTCCAAGCCAAAGAACCAATCCCTACGCTACTACTTAACATCACGTGAAAGTCTTAATTCCAAGCTTTACCCGACCAATCTTATTGCGAACCCAGCCTACGCTAGTCTTACCTTATGTGTACTCCGAAGTTGAACATACTTGAGTTGGTACATTACCAACCAGACTGATACTTATTTTCCTTAATAGTTAATGAAAGCACCTAGCTTTTTGTGGCTATGACCTATACCAGGGTTTCTGGCGATCGCCTGCAACTGAGTCATTCTTAGCGGTTGGGGAGATGAAGGCTTTATGGAAGCTAGATGGTCGAAAGGAATGAAATCGTACAAAGGTTAGGTTTCGAACAGCTTCAACAGAGGAAGGCTCCCCGAATGCAATTAGCCAACTAACTCTTTCTTTCCTTTTCCCCACTAAGACGAGTATCGGGTCTGCGACCACGAATGGCTCCATACCGTATCAATTGCGCGCTAAGATCGAACCGGACAGGTCGAAGCTTTTCTTTTTCACAGACGCTCGGGCCGCTAGGGCCAAGTCGTTTAGCTACACTCTTTTCCTTCACTGCGCTTCGCTTCTAAAGTTGGGAAAGCAAGCGTCAAAAGCAATCAATCTTCACTCAGGATCTCGTTCCGGAGCAAGATACAGGTGTTGGATTAGATGAGATTCCATGGTCATGGTAAGTTGAAGAATCGATCGGCATTGATGCCAGTTCAATATGATATTAGACTCTGGTATTGGGCATAAGGATCTGCTTTCTCCTACGATTCGACGGTCTTATTAATAATCAAAAGATTGAGACTACTACTGCGGAAGGTAGGGGCTTCTGTTATCTGCTGTCTTTGCTGGTGGACCAGGAAAGTGGAAGGTTGGCTCGCCCTTTAGTCCTAGGATATTCAATTCAAGCAGCTTCCATAGGGGCAGTTAACTCAATAGGGCTTTCCGCTACTAAAATGAAAATCAAAGTCAAAGTTCTTATTCTTGTTCTGATATGGGATAGCCTACCCCTTCTTTTCACTGCTTCCTTTGATGAAACCGAGTCTCGCTCTGTGCCTGAAGACAAATTCTTTTTTTCGGTTGAGTAAAGGCTCAAACCGAATGGTCAAAGGCTGGGAGTATTGATGGGGATACCGGGGGTTCGTCATTAGTAGTGGGGAAGCTGGCCAATTAACCATGTAGACAGATTCGTAGGTACGGCACGTACCATAGTCTGGGGTACGGATTGACTTACTATTCGATTCGAAGTGGATGACTACCTAGATTATCATGAGGATGAAATATTTCGTGATAGTTATCATGGGTTGAAAAGGGACGGGCCAATAGCAAGGCAGAAGTTTCATACAAAGGTGCCTTTTACAGGCGGGGAAAAGACGTTTAAAGCGGAGGTTCGATGTAATTGACGAAGGGAAATCCGGATTCCAGGGCAAATTCCTGTGATTCTTGGTTAGATGACTAAGAGCAGATGGGGCGGGCAAGGAGAGCGGCATTGCTATAAGTTCGGTTCATCAATGTCGGTATCTCAGTCACAGATTGATGTTGTCCTCAAAATACCCCTTAGTTTGTTTTGACTCAACTATATCCGTAGTATCAGGATTTCGACCACCAGGTGGTTCTTATGGATATCGATATATTTGGCTAACTACGCTGGAATAGAGCCATTCTAAGTAGAACCCTTCTTACGATATGTCAGATAGAGCAGAATCAGTCACGTAATAGCCCCCAGCCCTTTCCTTACGATGATTCATGCCTTGCTCGTGTCGTAAGAATGTCGTATGCAAATTAATTCACTTTTGGTATAGAATAAATGGGCGAAAGCCCGATGCAGCAACTTGCCAGGGGTTGTGCTTTGCTACTTGCTGAGGTTTCCATCTATTGTATTTATCTACATGGGAATGAATTCGTCTGTCAAACCTGCCATTTGTATGCACCCGAACATGTTCAATCGACCTTCGGCGTAAGCGACTTCGTACTGCTATAGACTCTAGTTAGGACTTAGATATGAACACCCCCCTTCGTTAGAATCAACCCTATTGTTTCTTAGTAAACAGGGATCGTTCAGTAATGACCTAGTCTTTCGCGAGACTTCAGGTTGACTTCTTTTGTTAGGTCTCTACTTCTCCGTTATGATCGCGTTTTCCCTACTAAGAACTTGAGAGACGGAACTATAACTATGACTCACGTAAGCGGTATATTAGTGCCTGATGCGGGAAATCCTTGCTTGACTTGTTGATCATCTATCATTACTGGCGAAGCAAGCATACCGATAATCAACTCGCTTGAGAGAACAATTCGAGAAGAAAGACCCCTAGTCAGCCCGTCAGCCTAATAAGGTATTCCGCTTGGTCGAAGTGGACAAGGGTCCAAAGGAACTGGCACAAGAGATAGAGGCCAGTAAAGGGTCGATGTAATTGAGTAGCTACGCCGCTAACTAGGTATGCCGAACAGGAAGGCTAAAAGGAAGTTTGGTTTCACCGATAGGCGAACCAGCGTGGCTGCGTAGCAGCGAAGAGGACGAAGATTCTCTGGAGGAAGGTGAGATCCCAGCTGATGGCCTGGATTCATTCTGGGACGGGTTGGAAGAGGTCAATTATATCGAGCCTTACGCTGAACGAACTTTCACGCAGGAAAGGCTGCTGTCAGGTGACTGCCATATTTTGTTTAGTTTGCAAGTGGGCTTTCTTATAACGAGTTTTCCTCTTTTTGTAGCTTGCTAACTAATGTTCCCCGCCCTTGAGAAGGGGGATCTGATAAATCCCTTTCAAGTTCTCGCGCAGCTTGCCTGCTTCTTTCTAAACTTTAAAAGATGCCCCTCAAAAAGGGAAACGCATCTTCTTCTTATCTTATTTACTCTCTCACTTAATTAGTAGCCTATATCTAAATGGTAAAGGTTCGATGTAATTGACCTCCTCCTTTCTTTTTAAAAAAGAGAGATGAATCTTGTATAGCGCAAAAGGGGAGTAAAGACAGAATGTAAATATGTAGAGAATCACATTTCTTAATAATGCCATAAGCCCTATAGCCCTTCGGACTAAGCCATGACCATAGGATCTCACAGTGTCGGAATGAGTTAAGCACACGATAGGGTGTCCAGTCGTATTGGTTGGGATACCTATGCCACCTTTCTTTTTTATTTATCCCAGGCATACTGCTTAGAAAACGGTAGGTCATAGACTGGTCAATTACACCTTCCCTCTCCCTATGGTCGAGTCTCACTTTGCGATCCAACGAACGAAGCGAAGCGCAGTGAAGTCATAGAAGCTACATCGCGATCCTCTTCAACCGGATCAAGAAAGGCGGGATCAGCTCACTTCCCCACCGAAATAATAAAAAGGGGGTCTCAACGAGCCTAAACTTCGGATTGGCAAGCTGCAGAAAGTCCAACTTAGGCGTCAGGCTTGATAAGGGTGTCATTGGATTATGGCACCCGATGGAGCGGTGTTGTTTGCCTATTCTTGAAATAACCTTTGGGCTTGTCTGTTGTTTCGATATGGGTATGTTTCAGCCTTGATAGTCGTCCTCTATATTGTTCAACGTAAATGGCCTCCGCCTTGATCCAGCTCGAATATCAATACCCCTTAGGCGAACGGGACTCAAAAGACACATTTAAACACATTTACGAAGATGGGGAGCAACCAAAGAGATAATGTAGGATAGGCGAACAGTATGAAAGAGGTTTTAGTATAAGATCTGAGCTGATAGATTCTGGGAGTACGAGCTCTTTTGTGGATGTGACTTTGGTCGCTCAATTGAATATTCCAATTCACGAGCGAGAGGAGTTGCGGCAAGAACAGGCGAAAGATACCGCTGAACCGATAGGCGAACCAGCGTGGCCGATAGGAGAAGAGGCTTTAGGGTGGTAGGCGGCTTAGTAGGTCTCGTTGATAGGCGAAGAAAGAGGAGTCCAATTCAATACGCAAAAGAAAGTAGTGAACTCAGGTGAATCAGTTGAGAAGGTGAAATAGCACCAATGTTGAGATTTTATCAAGAGTTGGAAGAGGGGCACAGGCGAATAAAGGCGTTAGCGCAAAGAGGACAACAAAGTGTCCGAACGAGCAGACAAACTTCTATGACTTCACTTCGCTTCGTTCGTTGAGGTGTAATTGACCTTCACTCTTGACTTTCGCTTATAGTTAAGGCGGATCTCCGAGGGCACAATAGCATTACCTCGCTTGTTAGGGATCGATTGAATTTAGATTATTTGAATTTCATAAAGGCTGGATGCTAACAGCTGGGCAGGCTAACAGCCCGAAGCAGAACTCCCATGCCGAGGATCATTTATGAAGCTGTGTTGAGAACCCGTCCTCCGTCCCTACAATCAAAAAGCCTAAATGAGAAATGAGAATTTCGCTGTGGCCTTCCTTAGAGGCCAAATGCTTAATACCAGATTCTTTAGAGACATTGAATTTGAAGCCCTATTTATTGATTGATTGGCTCGGCGGAACGAGGAAACCTGGCCGGCTGCCTTCTTCAAGGGCGGATACAAGATGTCTTTGCGTGTGTTGTTTGGTCTTGCCTTCCCTTCCTTCCTTTTCCTCTTCGTTTTGTGCAGGGTTCACATCTTTAACCCCGACCCAACTAATCTGATCCCATAACAAAGAAATTGACGTCACTTTCTTTGGGCCACTGGGGAAGCGGGGCTTCGGGGGCCGGAAGAGCCGGCAATAGCACCGGACTAGCCGGGACCTCGAATGAAGAGGAGTCGCCCTGGTTTCCATGACCAAAAATCCATCCAGACGACTCCATTACAGCACATCTTTCAAAAAAGAAAGTCAAGACACCCGCGGAGAATGTACCAAAATCCGCTAAGACATGGCTACGTAGTAGAAAGACAAAGATGGAGATTTGACAAAGAAGGGACTAACAGCGGAGGAAAGACCCGCATAGAAGATAGGCGTATACCTCTGTACATAGCATCTGGTAAGGACGTTATGTACCACTACTATCATACGACACCTCTCCAGAGGAAAGAACATCGTAGAGTTCTATGCCAACCAGGTCAAAACCAAAGCGCAGCACAGAAAGAAGCAAGTAATCCCTTACCTAGTCAACTGGTCAATCTGTCTACGATTTCCGGGTCGTGTGAGTTCCATCGCTTGCCCATAGGATCGGGGCGGGGTAGAGTATCATCGGGAATGAAGACAAGAGAGAAAGGCTCGATGTAATTGACCTGAATATACCGATTCTTTATCCTTTGCACTGCCTAAAAAATCCCCCATAGCACGCTGATAGCATTCACATCCCAAAAGTGCCAGGTCGGGTTAAGGCGCTACAGCAACTGAATTGAAAGATGATGAAGTACGGAGCTAGCTCTCTGACTGGTGGTTCCCCCCTTCTATTAGAGGAGCAATAACAGCCTATTTGGAGATAATAGAAAATCACAACATTTCAAAAGCGGCTGCTGCAAAAGCCCACCGAATGAAAGATAAGAGGCTGGATGGAATGAAGCTGCACATGCGCAGCAATGGAAAAAAAAAGTGCCCACTAGGGAGGCACGAAGTAGCTCGACTGAAAGGAGAGGGGACGAAGGAGCTGAAGGTAGGACCATAGTACGAGGAGAGAGTGAACGAACGAAGCGAAGTTCAGTCATAAAAGCGGGATTCGCTTTCTTTCTTCCGAGGTCAATTGCCTTTTAAGCTAAGATAAGGCCTCGCAATCAAGAAAAAGATCAATAAGGACTTTTTTAGAAGTAAGAGCCATATAGTCATAGCGAGGAAGGGGAATCTTAATATATATATAAGTTAAGGAGTTTTAGACTTTATTAATTAAGCACTAAGGGCGGGGAGTTCGTTCCTTCACAGTGAGGCTCTCCATCCCCTTCTTGTCTCCATACTATATAAGGGTAGGGGTCTTATTATCTTGTCATATAGTTCTTTCTTGTTTACAGTGAGATTACCTACTATTCTCATTCTGACTTCTTCCTATACCTGCACTAGCTAGCCTTTCTTTCCAGCGGAAGACTAAGCGCCTATAATAGGTAGGCCACACGATGAGTTAAGGAAGGAAGACTAAGAAAGCAAGCATTAAGACTCTAAAAAACGAAGCGAAGCGAAGTGTAGAAAAGCGCTAGGGAATGAGTGAGAACTTCCCTATAAAAGAACTGCCCTTCTTCAAGTTCCAGCGTTACAATCTTTACTTTGACAGATAGGGGCGTGGGTCAAGCAAGGAAGAGAACAAGGCTTTCTAGGGCAAGGCCTTGACTTACTAAACAAAGATCCGTAAAGCAGGAACTTGGCCCTTAAATGGTTGGGTTGCTATCGAGTGAGAGTGGAATGAGTTGAATTGCCCTTCTTTATAGGGATGCGGGGGCACGAGATACGACTAATAGGTGGGAATCAGGTGAATCGCTTGGGACTGGGAAGATTGTGTGAGCGATAGGATCGATGTAATACTTCTGACTGAACTTCGCTTCGCTTCTAAAGTATGGTCGAGTATCTTCAAACCTGAGGTGATCTCTTTTCTTATGATATTGTTGTGATCACTGAACTTGGCTTACTGAATGCCACACTAAGAAAGCAATCCAATCAGGAACAAGAACATCGTGATTTGGATTTCATCTCGATGAAAGAATCTATCTTTTTCCGGTATTAGGTCATCGTCGGTTTATGCACCAACAAGAGCCTGTAGTACCGTTACGGAAACCCGGTTTGAGTTGTCCGCTTTGATCGAATCTAAGCCCTAGAGGTGATCTCGACTCTCACTTACTTCTTCTATGACTGAAAAAAGCTTCTAAAGATGCAATTGACCTGAGGTCTCAATAGCAATCAAAGTCTCTGGGTTAGAGTCACCAAGCCGGGAAGGCATAGAGTCGACGCAGTCAAGCAGGACGTAATCGACGGCATAATCAAAAGTACAGGCAGAGGTCCAAGATCCTAGTCGTGCAAAGATCCAAGCAGCGTATTCTGATTCAAGTGCGAACTTCTTCTCGACGCAGGAGATTCGTGAACAAGCCCATCGGCAGAGCCTAGCAATAGCAGCCTTGTTCTCTCTTTTCATTCAACTCTTCTAATCTCATCTTTCGTCACTTTCGAGAGGCATATTCCTATTTTTTCTATCCCATGCATTCACTCCTATGTCGGCTGATTCTGAGATAGCGTTCGGACTCATGTAAGAGTGACTTTCTTTCCGAACTTGCTATATTTCCGGTCGTGGTTGTTTGAGACGAGATTGGGGTTTCCTGCGGATCTTGCTTAAAAAGTCTGAGATTTCGGGTATGGTTTTTTTTCATCCCTCTCTTATTTCCAGTCTTCCCTATCCCTTTTTCAAAAGTTCTGTGCTAAAAGCAGAGCACCCAACTAAGGCTACAATGGCAATTACACTTCTATGACTTCACTTCGCTTCGTTCGTTGGGTACGAAAGCGAAAAGTGAATCAAAGGGAAGGGTATTTCGACTCGAACCCCTACATTTTCGAAGTGAAAGAAGTCAAGAAGTAAACCTGTGACAGCTGAAAGGAACTCAAACTTTTCATCTACTGAACTATCTTCTGCAGCTGCAGTAAAGGTGGGAACCAGATGTCGACTCAAGGGGTTGGGTTGGTTTACAGTGTGTTCGGTGTGGAAGATCGAGGCAATCAATCAGGTAAAGCAGAAAGGGAGTTTGGCTACTTGAATCAGAGAAGTGCAAGAAGAGGATCCGGTTTTTTTTGAAGGGGATATCCCTGATCTCAATGAACTAAGTTCAATAAAAGGGAATATAATCCCCATCATATCATCACCGCCAGGGAAAGCGCAGGAGAGGATCTTTCTAGCTCAATAGAAAGAAAATCCCTAATTTGACTGAACTGCGCTTCGCTTCGTTCGTTGGGTCAAGATCCGGAGTGAAGCTCAAGGCGAAAGATCTTAGTGAAGTCAAGTTACTCGGCTCGGCTAAAAGGGTTGTTTCTGACTTACCGGCATCTACCTTCAACAGGAAGGTCGGGAACTAGTCGACTAAGACAGGGAGGGCTTTTACCAGCACACCATAGTGTGCCAATGGCTGCGGGGCACTAAAGAACTCCTCTATTGTAACCTCGTCGGAAAGTGCTTTAACATAATACCACCTACACTACACTAGTTTAACCACTGTTTGACCCAGCATCTCAATAAAGACCATTCTAAGAAATCAATCTTTCATACCGGGTTTAAAAAAAAGTGCGTCCGGCACTACTTTTAATTCTCGTGGTCTAAATTCGTACCTAAGAGTATAAAAAATTTGACCTCTAACATAAGTGTCAAGGGGACGCCCCCTACTGATCCAAAGAGAAAAAGGAAGATTCCTTTTAGTATACATAGTATACACCCTGTCAAAATGCATGGATCTACTATGGTCAATTCTTGACAAAGCTTTACCACGACACCCCTCTATCCGAGCTAAGGTTGAAACCCTTTCGACCGGATATGTTTGACAGACACCCATCAAACCGTAAGGATGGTGGGATTTCAACAGGTTACGGATAGACACAGGACTGAGGTCCACGGTAAAATTCCGAACCCCAAGACGCATGATACCCCAGGGGCTGACCAGTAACAAAAGATACTGAGGTTCGATGCAATTGAGTTTTACGATTCGACTTTTGGCAGGCCATGGTGCGGATAATTGTGGGGTTTCTCCTGCTTATTTATTAGGGCGAGTGGATAGGGAGGGTTCAGAGGGGCTCGTTTTCGCTAGGGTTTAGCTTTTCAAGTTTTTGGTTACATAGATTCAAATTCCCAGATATTCAGTAAGGGAATTGTAGTACAGCACTAGAAGCAATCTTGCATTGCACGAAAGAGCCTTCCTTTGTCCTAGGGGGTCGGGGTCCCCGGACTCCTTTTCTTTGAATCTTTGAGTGTAAAAAAAAAAGGCATAAATTCAATCAAATCAAAGTAGCTAGTAGCTAAACCGGATTCAATTGAGTTGCTTTTCGTCTTTGAATGCCGAGCAAGTCGTCTCCTTCCTTTGGGTTAGGAAGTGGCAGGCTCGGTACGGTTCGCTCAGCAGACTCCGTATCGATCGTATTGGTATCGGTACTAGTATAACGATTTGGCGGATACTTATACTTATACTTATATGTATATGTATGTTTCGGTGAACTCTCCAGTGGCATCATCTTCTACGTGAACCTTCTCCTCGTCAGGTTCTGACTCTGCTTATGGAAAAGCTGCTTCGATTTCTAGCCTTAGTAAAGTAGAAGTTGAAAGAGATTTTCCGAGAGAATGATGTTTGCGCGCTGGTTTCCACCATTCTCTTCACGTAGAGCTTTTTTACTCTTTCCGAGCTCTTTCTTTTGATCTTGTAATGCTTTGGATTTCCTTCTCTAAAGAAGAGATACCTAACTCTGACGGGTTGCGTTCCAGTAGGATCAAGAAGGCCGAAAGCCAGGCAGTAAAGCTCACGTTGTCGACCTCTTGTCCGTCAGTGAGTGATTCCTCGTATGTGTAAGTGTAAAGACGGGTAGACCGTATCATCTCTTTCCCCAGATCAAACTTCGATCATGTCACGAGAGTGGATTCAGTTGGTTCCAAAGGTCATTCTGCGAACGTGACAGCTTGGTCAATGAAACTTCTTCGGAGCTTGAAAGTCAAAGAGTCTCATGTACTTTCTTATGGAACTATTGCTTCAAAGAATCAGTCCTCAATGGCATACTATCTCACCCGGAGGAAGATTGGTCTTCTTACTAGCAGAGAGGGAGAGGCTTCGGTTACTGGGTTTCGATATTTCGGGAGGGGTAATTAAATATAGCAGCTTTCTATCAGCCTAAAGGTGCTTTATCCGGATGCAATTGGCTTGGGTCTTATCCTGTCTCTGGGCATCTATGTCTTTTTCTTAGAGGGGTCTGACAAGACCTCTTGCAATCCTAGGAAAGAAGGTAGTTCGCTTAGGGAACCTAAGGGCTTCTCTATCGGTCACAACTTAGTAGTGAGATTTACAAGCCAGGATATTATTGGCACAGGCTAGCTAAAATGCTTACCTCCAGCTTCTATTGATTCGGACCAGCTGATCTGTTTCATACGAAAATGCAAATCTTAATAAATGGGATAGTTCATCAAGCCACTAATATCTCGGGAGTTTGCTCTCAATGTAATCGACCCAACGAACGAAGCGAAGTGAAGTCATAGAAGTCTGCCAACGGCATTTAAGCAAGCAGTCTTTTTCCTGTCTATCCAGCCGGGGAAGAGCCAAGTCCCTTCGAGAGGGGATGAGATCAGTCAAGTCTAGAAGAACGCCTTTTAGTTAATAATAACTTGGTAACACACTGAGCCCCCTTTCTTAACTCAACTCACGCACTCAGACTCCTTACTTGAGTCCTTCTCTTCCCGAAGAGCGGATGAGCGTGGGATATAGATTCTAAAGAGATATGTGTGTGGTCTTCGTGTGGCCTCCACCTACAGGGCTGGCTGTGCCCACCATGACGAGTTTTGGAAACAAATGAACGAGGACTCTCCAGCCGACACGAACGGAGAAGCAAAAGCATACGCTTCAGACGGGCTTCCTTTTCTAAATTCAAGGTATTAGGAATGAAAGGAAGTTTATGAGATCGGGTTTCAACAGTCTCTCTTTAAGAAGGGGGGCTCCCGCTTTCCTGTGTGTCTTCCTTCCGCCTTGTACTACACTTGGTTGTTCATAAAAAAACCTTGCTTGTATGCTGCCTGTGCTCGGTTCGACGTCAGTCCTTGATCCGGTTGAGCCGATCGATCGCATTTCGGCTGACCCAATAACCAGGACGCTTCCGTCAGTCAAATCCTACACGTCCGTAGGTAGAAGTCCTCCCGATTCCTCAGTAGCATCAGCCTCAATTACACCTTTCCTCTCCAGGGACTTCACTGCGCTTCGCTTCGTTCGTTGGATCGATTACATTGAGAATTTCCTTCGTTTTGGACAGCTTTCCTGGGCTAGATATTCCTTGCTTCCATCCCTTAAAGGAGTTTATGAGGGCAATTGTCGGGCTAAGGCTGACTTTTAATGTGAAGGTATTGGCATTGCGCAGCAGGTTTTGACTTGGATCTTCGAGCCGCTATGCATGCCTTTTGCTTTTAGCTGCATTAATATGGTCATACGTGCCCTCCCTTTACTATTGATCCTTCCTTTATTAACAGTAACTATGTCAGTTCGGGGTAAGAAATAGCTAGTTCTGCTTCACTTGCACAAGCCATTCTAACATCGTCTCTTTCTCTTTTCTCTGTTGTTAAGCCCTTTTTGCCCAAGATAAGATGAATGCTATCTTGCTTATTAAATCCCTTCCTTGGGCCTCCGGTTTTCCTCCGGGCTTCTAAGAGACGCGCTTCTTTCTGTCGTTCAAGAATCCCCTTGCTTACTGGCAATGCGCATTGACTCAGTCCCTCACATTCAATCAACGGGAAGCCTATTCCTACCCTAGTTTATTGGCTCTTGGGTTGGATGCTTCCTGTAAGATATGATTTATCTTTATCAAGACTGCCCTAAGACTGCGAAAGATTTTGACTGATATCCTATAAGCAAGTGAGAGTTCTGAATGAGCACACGTTCTGGGCCGATCCATTGTCAACCAGAACCATTGGCACCCTTTTCCCTGTAGTGATCACTGTAATGTGTAAGGCTTTGTTATGGTTTTTTCCTTCTCTCGGAAGAGACTTATGATAGTATTTACCATCCGGATGTGGCAAATTATCTAAACTAGCTGAGATGGTGAAGTGTCCAATGACACATGGCTTTGATCCTGCACGCAGGTTTGGGTTTTTTGCTTTTTTCCATGCATCCAATCCATTTGACTCTTTGACTGAACTTCGCTTCGCTTCGTTCGTTGGGTCGACAAAGTTGAGAAGAATCTCGACTATAAAGGAGAGGAGAGGAAAGGTGTAATTGACCTTGATCAAGAACTATAAGCAGATTCATAGGACCGAGAATATATAAGCTCATATCGGCTAAGACAACTAATAGGACAAGAGCGAACACTCTTTCTTTTCCGGTTTTTCGGTGCGAAGGAGAGGCACGGCATAACTGAATACTCTCGTGATAGGTGCCGCCGAAGACGATGTTCATTGATCAGCTATTTGGAGGTTGAAAAGGAAAGCATTCAAGACTGATCCGATCAAATTTCTGTCCTCCCTATGGTCGCCTCATTGAGCTTCAAACCGAAATCGGTGGCAAAGCGCTCCGCATGACCCCAATCCGGAGAACACGAAGACAGAAGCATGTCTCGTACCATACCCATATGATAACAAGTGATTAATCTTCCATCTGGGAACCTTAACCAAACCTGAAATGGGAGTGGTAGGAGCATATAAATAGGTGGGAGCGGGAGAGAACGCCACAAGGATGTGGTAATACCAGTGTCTATTAGTTTGAGGACTCACGTGCTCTGGTATTGCAGAATATTTAATAAACCCAGTTTCACGAACTCTCATAGAGAGTCGCAGAGACGTCAGTCCAAGATTTCGAAACACCGGCCCCCATGTCCAGCAGTAGCCCTATGAGGCTTAAGCCAAGTAGCGTGGTCTTCGGGAACAGGATTTATCTCTCCGAAAAAAAGTCTTCCTTTATTCGTCCCTACGGTACAAACTTTTAGAAGCGAAGTGAAGAAGAAGGACTGGGAATTGGCAATAGCTGATATGCGTAAATCCGATATGCGACAAAAGAGAGAAGTGCAGCGGAGAACAGAGGATAGTTCGATCATATCATGAAAGTCGTCCCCAAGCAACTACATCTACCTGGTAGCACAAATGGGCTTAGAAGCGGCTAGCGGCATGTTCCCATGGAGCGGTAACTAGGTCCAGTGCCCAAAAAGGGAAGCGGCTCTGCTAATGCCCTGGCCAAAAGACGACTTATATCTACATCCATCCTCATAGTAAGAAAAAGCCAGTGAAAGCTCTCTTCTAGGCGCTTATTCCCACAGCTATCTCAGATATTTGTGCTTTTTCTCGGTAGGATACCATATCATACCGTACCAGTTAACTATATATAGTAGTACCGGTCTATCACACCTGTCCTCCGGTCGTGAAGGCGAGAGATAAACCTTCGGACTAGCAAGAGAGAAAAAAAGAAGTAGTGCCGGTTCAGTAGTCTACCGGTTATCATTCCGTATCGCTTAGCATATAAATAAGAGGATGGGTTGGATGCTTGGATATTCTTTTCTTTCTTCTAGTAGGATGGTATGGTAATCCATTTCTGACTTACCAGGCTGGGATATAACCCCGATAAGGTTGCTTAGATAAGAGAGATCTAGCACCTGCTCTTCCCCAATCACTGCAAGGGTCAATTCTGGGAGAGACCATTGTGCGGGCAATGTCATATTGCTTGTCACCAAAGGCTTTCATCAACGACCTGGCGTTGATTATACTGAGACTTTTAGTCCGGTCGTTAAACCCTCTTTTTCGCCGTTGGTCAACAACCAAGAAAAACTATCTATAATATTTAGTCACTACTCTTACAGTATTCTGTCTGGAAGGAATGAATTTGTCAAAAGAAAAATCAACCATGTGTCACCCGTGTGAAGTAGTTTGCTTGTGTTTGAAATCTATTAAGGAATGTTTTTGCGGCAAATCTGATGGTACAGCCAACAACTGTTCGGGGAATAACCTTTCTTTTTCTCGTTGCTGGTCATATGTATAGAACTAATTTCGGGATTGGGCACAGTATGAAAGATCTTTTAGATGCGCATGTTCCCCCGGGGGGACGAGTGGGACGCGGGCATAAGGGTCTTTATGATACAATCAATAATTCGCTTCATTTTCAATTAGGCCTTGCTCTAGCTTCCTTAGGGGTTATTACTTCCTTAGTAGCTCAACACATGTACTCTTTGCCTGCTTATGCATTCATAGCACAAGACTTTACTACTCAAGCTGCATTATATACTCATCACCAATATATCGCAGGTTTTATCATGACAGGTGCTTTTGCCCATGGAGCTATATTTTTCATTAGAGATTACAATCCGGAACAAAATGAAGATAATGTATTTTCAAGAATGTTAGACCATAAAGAAGCTATCATATCTCATTTAAGCTAGGCCAGCCTGTTTCTGGGATTCCATACTTTGGGACTTTTATGTTCATAATGATGTCATGCTTGCCTTTGGTACTCCGGAGAAAAAAATCTTGATAGAACCCATATTTGCTCAATGGATACAATCGGCTCATGGTAAAACTTCATACAAAAAAGTTCGATGTACTTTTATCTTCAACAAGTGGACCAGCATTCAATGCGGGTCGAAGCATCTGGTTGCCCGGTTGGTTATCTGCTATTAATGAAAATAGTAATTCATTATTCTTAACAATAGGTCCTGGAGACTTTTTGATTCATCATGCCATTGCTCTGGGTTTACATACAACTACATTGATCCTAGTAGACATTTCCTATACCAGCTGAAATACCAGTTGTTTTCTTCTCAACTTCGCCTTTCCGAAGGAACTCTTTGACTGAACTTCGCCTAAAGGCTCAGCGGATCCGAATCACTTGGAATTTGCTACCCCGTCGTCCGATTCTATGAGAAGAATTTTCTCTTACCTTAGCTCGTTAAGAGCATTCTTTCTCTTATACGAAGGTTACCCAGTAAAGCAGCTCCATTCTTCGTCAGTGGCATTGAAGGAGACCGATTCCAAGCTTATTCCTCTACTAAATAGACTGAAGAAGGGGACTTCTCAAGAGAGAGCTATGGAGTGTGAAAGACAAAGTCTAGTTATAAGTTGGAGTTTCCTCAATAAAATCAGTCTGAACGAAGCGAAGCGAAGTGAAGTCCCTGGAGAGGAAGGCATCGCCTTTTGGAGTCCTTTGGGGGAAAGAAAGGGCTCATCTCTTCTTAACTTCTTGATTCAATTGAACCGATCCTCAGAAGAATCTCTATCTCTACGAGACCTGATAGCCGAGATAGCCTTTGTGGTCCATTACCCATGCTAGGCGTAGCTGGTGTATTCGGCGGCTCCCTATTCAGAGGAGGGAATGCATCTGACTCCCCAGGAATGCCACTGATTGAAAAAAGAAGATCAGATCACATTGGGGGAGCCGTAAAGAATCTCATACGGAGTTTTTCTAATAGACTCTTCCTTCTCCCCCATCATCAGTTTAACACCTTTCGACCTTGAGAACATCGACTCATCTCAAGGTAGTGGTCGGCCTTCCTACAAACCGCTATCACTTTGGAAAACCTCCTTCACTTCGCTTCGTTTGTATCGTCGGCGATATGTCAATTTCCAATGAGAAATCTCGTAAGAGAAGATATTTCAACCAATCCGGTAAGGAATAATATAGGGAAGGAAGTAGCTCATCCAATTGCTTCCGTAGCTCAGCTAACTCCGGGGGAGCCATTCTATATGGTTCTTTAGCTGGGGGCTTCACGCCTGGAAGTAACTCTATCTCATGGTCAACGGACCTTCTAGTAGGAAGTGCTCTTGGAAGACTATCTGGCATCACTTCCCTTCACTCCTTCTGGTATTGAATCTGTGCTTGCTTGCCCTTCATCAATCGGCAGGGCCACATAAGAGGGCTCACCCCGTTTTACCCCTTTCTTGAACTGAAGAGCTGAAATGATCTTCTTCCCACTCTTTGGTTGAAAACGACATCTCAACGAGGACTGAAAGAACGAAAGCGAAAGAAGATTATCTAAGAGATTTCAAAATAGAATCAGTTCTTCATTGCTGAACCAACTTCGCTATTCGCAGCAAATAGGCTATTTATAGTAAGGCGAAGATGCGTAGCAGCGAAGAAGGTGTAATATCCTCGGGGGAATCCCCAATGTCTTTTCCTTTGACTAGTACCGCATATAGGTAAGCGGCATCTAATTGATTCACCGCTACGGAAATGTCAGAGATGGGTTTAGCTGAAGCTACGAAGGCGGCTAAGAACCGCAGAACTGTAAGTCGAAGAGACGAGCTGACTATATATCGAAATTTCGTATAGAAAGGGATAGCCACCACACTCCTCCATGAACCTAATCCATAACCATACCCGTTTAAGCATAGTCGCTCGTCATAGAAACCTTATGAAGATATCAAAAAAGCATGCCGCGATGTACCCGGGCCCTGTACACACCGCCCGTCACACCCTGGGAAGTTTCTAGTAAGAGTATGGCTTGAAGGAATAGGATTCTCAAGAGAGATCATTATGAGTTTCGATTCTCTTCTTCTTTGATTGTATGATTCACCAGATCAGTATCTCTAGAAAAGACACCATGTCTGCATTCCAGCTTTTTTCAAGTTTCAGTAGAAACGATGTTCCAGTTCCAGTCTTGGACGGTTTTGAGCGAAGAAGACAATGAAATTGATAAGGAACGGAAATCTAACATAACCAGATAAGAAAAACTAGTCCAGGCAACCTGCTTCGGACTTCGGTCCTTGGATGATTGCAAAGCCTCGGGTCTTTAGGAAAGTTAGTAAAGTTAACGATGGTGATAAGGGGAAGAAGACTGCCATGCAAGGTACAAGCGGGGGTTCGCGTTTTGCTGCTCTGGCGGAGCTTGGAGAAGGAGAGGGGACGAAGACAGGCTCTGCAAGACCTACCTTTTTGTGCTTTGTATGGAGCGGTTGGGGCATTTGATTGATAGAGAGGTTAGCTCGGGTAGATGGAAACCAGTTCAGTTGGGTAGAGGAGTTGTACAAGCGCATCCTTTCTCTTTGTTTTCCCTATGTGTTCACTTTTCCCCTTTCCCCATAGATAGGGTGAAATGCCATATGAGCGATCCATCGTCTCAATTACATCGACCCTTGGGGGAGTAGCATGTCATGATTGCTTTTCTTTCTTCGCCTGACTAGGACTCTGTCCAATCACCCATTGAAGGTGAACCAATGAAGAAAGAAGGTATTACGATAGGTGAACAGGCGTTGCGGATTGTATGCACAGCTGTCCCTGGCCTTAAGGCTTCGTACTCTTCTTTAACAGTACTTTATTGATGATAAAGAGAGAAACCGAATACTGGGGAAAAGAAATGAAAAGAAGATTATGAAACATATCCTTTGAAAGATCTGAAAAGGAAAGAAAAGTAGCCCGTCATAGGGTTGGTTCGAATCCAATTCGTGAGAAGAGTCCAAGCTATAGACTCTAACAGTAAAAAGGCCTTCGGTTAACTAAATCTACTTCTATATTATTAGAAAGACTAAAGGAAGGGGGAAAGCCTGATCAAGAAGAGGCTAAAGATGGATACCTTACGAGTATATGGGCAAGAAGCAAGTTTGTTTGCGAGCAGATTCTGACAATCCAGTCTATGAGAAGTCGAAATCGGCTTACTCAATTATTATTGCGGAGTGAGTGATGGAACGACCCAAAACAAACGAAGAAGGAAATATCACAGAGGTCAATTATATCGAGCCTGCGGAGGGTATCAAACTCCTGTCGAAAAAAAGAACAGCCCTTGGTGGTGCATACCGCGGTCCCAGAAGCGGTTCGACCACCTCTGAACTCTAGGGAAGCCCATAGCTTAAAGCAGAACTTACAAGCTTCTCACTGACCCCCGTGGGAAAGCGTCGTGCCCCTTATTTTTCCATGACTTCACTGCGCTTCGCTTCGTTCGTTCCCTCTCTTTACGCGAATTGGGTATTACCGGCCGATGGCGAATAAGTCCTCACAACAAAGGTTAGGTGCTTGAGATCAGAACTGCTTACAGTAGCGCTCCTGGCGCGAGACTCTTTCGCCTAGAATGAATTCGGTAAGGAAAGGTTAATTACATCAAGCCTCATGGTCAATTGAATAGCACTTCCCTCAGAATGATTGAATTCGAAATAAAAGGCTTTGCCTTGGTCTTTATTGCGCACTAGTCGGGCAGTGTGAATGAGAAAGTGTTAAGTGAGTTTTTATGGAATAAATTCTTTGCCGCATCGTTGAATAGCAACACCTTTCTTAGAATGATTTTTATAAACCTATTCGTTCGTATGAATATACTATTCATTCTTCCGATGTAGGCTTCGGTGCATCTTCCTTCTCACCATTTCCTCTATTAGGGACTACAGCATTTTCTCAATTACATTGACCCTTGATTCCCCTTCTTCTTCGTCTATCGGTAAAGCGGTATCTTTCGCCCGTTCGCTGCGTAGCAGCTCCCCTCTTCTCCTATCGGCATTTGCTTGTTCGCCCGCGGATATAAAGTCGTCAGCTAATAAAGTCAGCTATGGAGCTTCTCTGGTAGAGTAGTTTATTCGTTGTAGAGCGAGTAGTATAACGAGCAAAAGTATGCATATAAATAAGAGTTCGACTTACTAATAAATTCCCGAAAACTCTTATGAAGAACTGATTCTAATTTGAAGAAGAGAAAGAATCAGACTATCAACAAGAAATAAGATCCATAGAACGTCCTTCTCCATAGTTTCAGAAATGCAAATACCGGTGAGTACATATCGAATACCTCTACGACGTCGGTAGGCTCTCTCCCTAATTCTTTCTTTCCTAGTGCATCAACAAAGACCAAGCTAAGAACGTCATGGAAGAAGTGAATGGTGGAATCGAAAGAACGAGTTAGGCGAACGGCACGATACGGGTCTCTGCCTTGACTATGAGAGCATTACGTAAGGCTACGCTGACAGCTTTAGTTTCAGAAAAAGACTGGAAGAAAGAAACCAGAGGAGCTTTTCTGTGTTGGCACAGCTAAAACGGATATTATTAAATACATGCAAACCGATTCTTAGAAGTAGGATTGGTAAGGTGTAGTGTGACATGCTTATGCAGAGTTTAGGGATTTTCTTTATCAAAGTCCTTAACAGGAAAAGGGCCGATTGGGTTTTCAATCAGCGATAGGACCGCCAAAACGTACGATATCGCTTGCTACTATGGAAAGTCCAGTGCCTTCGTTTCACTCGTATCCATGGCAAGTCCCTGATTCACTTCTCACTCTCGAGGAAGGAGAGCAAAGTGAGACTCAAGGTCCCACTAATTTAGCTAAGCTTAGTTTCGTAAGCTCTGAATTCCTCAAGCTGGTTTAGGAGTTAGAGGGTTCACTTCTCATTGGTGTTACTTTCCTTAGCTAGATCTTGGGTACCAAACCCGACGCTTATAGGTAAGAAAGTTGGCTAAAAGCACTCTGGGCGTAGTGGGGATACGATTCAACACCCGGTATCGCTTTCCCCTTCTTTCGCTTGCCTTGTATATATATAAGCTTAGGAGTTTAGACCAAAGGTCAGCTAGGCTTCCTCAATTACATCGACCCTGTTTTCGTTACTGGTTGTTATCCTGCCATCCTTTAGTTCCGTCTTACTGGCTCGTATCTAGCTCCTTGAAGGACAAAGCGGGTACTCATTCCCTAGTTGACCCCTGACCTATCAAGCCTCCGGGCAAAGGTTCCTTCACCCCAAGGAGACCAAGCGCAAACTCTTGGAAGAGATCGACCACCTCTGACAACTACTCTAGTTTCTTCCCAGCAGAAATGCAGAGGAAGGAAGTTTGGACCAAAAGAGCGGAGGTTTAATCTATCCAACAATTTCTTTTCAAAAGTCGTCCGAAAGGAAGGGAAGTAAGAGGGTCGAGTTTACGAGTTGTCGCTCCTCTGTCTTGAAGAAAGAAGCTCATGCCATCTCCTTTTGTATCCACTAGCTCTTATGAAGGGGAATCCTTTAAAAGCTATTTCCATCTATAGTAAAGTGTCCCGCTCCTTGTCATTTCAATAAATAGAGGGACTCTAACTCCAAAGAAGAAGGGAAGAACTGTAGACTCATTGGTAATATGCTAATAGGTGGAGAGCTAGAAAAGGATAATCTTAACCACTTTCAAGTAAAAGATGAAATCTTCTTCTCTTACGATATTTCTAAGCAAATGAAATGTCA